TATTTTTTAATATATTTTATTGATTTTTTTACAGAGAGGAAGGGAGAGTGATAGTTAGAAACATTGATGAGAGAGAGTCATCGATCAGCTGCTTCTTGCACACTCCCCACTCGGTATGTGCCCGCAACCAATGTACATGCCCTTGACCGGAATCGTATGGAAAAGCGGCTGCAAACAGCTTGAGCGGGACTGCAAATTGAATGTGGCTGGGTGTCAGGGAATCACCAGGGCAGAGAACAGTGTGGGCTACTCTGATGGCAGCTTTGTTCCAGTCCCACCACTGGAACAGTGTGCACCCCGGTCTGGGAGAAAGCTAGCTCCCTGAGTTCCTGCCCAGCTGCCAGACAGTCCAGTTCCTCCCCATATATCCCTGGAATCCCCCAAAGCAGCCACCCAGAACTGGACTCAGAGGAAGCTGGACAGTGTAAGTTTGTGAGCCAGCCCTTTAAGAGGAACACCTGGAAATCCAACAGCCTCCATGTCACTCAACCATACTCCCAGCTGGCTTTTACAGCCGAAGTTATGGGGACTTCTCTTCCCAGCTCTGAAACCCTTGGCTTGGGGTCTGGCATGGGGCTGGGACCCCCTGCTTTTCATGGGAGGCCTTTTAGATAACCCTCCTGATTAAAGAAATGCCATGTGTGGGTGTCGGACCAGCCTGTTCCATACCTCTGCCTCTCCAACCATCTCAATACACTTTTTAAATATATATATATTTTTTATTTTTATTGACTTCAGAGAGGAAAGGAGTAGAGAGAGAGATAGAAACATCAGTGATGAGAGAGAATTATTGATTGGCTACATCCTGCACACCCCCTACTGTGGATCGAGCCTGCAATTCAAGCATGTGCCCTTGACCAGAATTGAACCCGGGACCTTTCAGTCCACAGGGTGATGCTCAATCCACTGAGCCAAAACAGCTAGGCAATGCACTTCTTTTCTTCTCTAGTGTTAGGACTTCCATTCAGCCAGATTTCAGGCAGTTCTGAATGACGGTTGTTCTGTATTTTAGTTATATTGATGTGGTTGTGGGAGACAGCAAGTACAGGTGTTTACCTATTCCACCATCTTGGTACTTCCTCCCTTTTCATTTTAAAAAAATATATATATTTTGTTGACTTTTTTACAGAGAGGGAGAGAGAGGATAGAGAATTAGAAACATCGATGAGGATCATCGATCAGCTGCCTCTTGCACACCCCCTACTGGGGATGTGCCCACAAACCAAGGTACATGCTCTTTTTTTCTTCTTCTTCTTTTTTTTCCCTTTTTTTAAAAAATATATTTTATTGATTTTGTACAGAGAGGAAGGGAGAGAGACAGAGAGTTAGAAACATCTATGAGAGAGGGTCATCGATCAGCTGCCTCTTGCACACCCCCCACTGGGGATATGCCGGCAACCAATGTACATGCCCTTGACCAGAATTGAACCCGGGACCCTTCAGTTCCCAAGCCGACGCTCTATCCATTGAGCCAAACCGGTCTCAGCCCAAGGTACATGCTCTTGACCGGAATCTAACCCTGGGACCTTTCAGTCCGCAGGCTGATGCTCTATCCACTGAGCCAAACCGGTTTCGGCTCCTTTTTCATATTAATGATGGTTTCTTTTGCTGTGCAGAAGCTTTTTAGTTTGATGTAGTTTATTTTTTCTATGTTTCTCTTGTCCTAAGAGATATATCAGCAAAATTCTGCTTATGTAAGATGTCTATGATTTTACTGCCTGTGTTTTCTTCTAGGATTTTTAATCAAGTCTGCTAAATGAGTAATTATTTTTCCTTCTACTTTCCCACTTTCAAAATGTTATTGTTGTTTTCACTTTTCCTATTCTTATGAGTTTATGATCGAAAAAATTTTTATTTTTCTTGAAGGAGTAAAGCTGTATTTTAATCCAACATCTTTAATTAGAATTCTCAAATATCATGATCTTTGCACTATATAATGGTGGTTAATGTAGTTACTTTCCTGAAGACATAGCATGTTTGTTTTTAACTATAGACATTAAAAACCAGTTCACAGACTTCACAAAATTCTATTCTTAGTGCACTGGGGGTAGACAAAAGTGGATAAGATATGTCCCTTGTTCTCCAAGAGCTTACCGTGTGGAAAGATATATATATATATATATATATATATATATATATATATATATATATATACTATTATAGCATGGGTAAAAAGGGATACGTAGTAAGATCTACATTTTATTGATCACCTTCAAATTTCAGATGTTTCATCTACATTAATAAATTCAGTCTAGTAATCTCACAATGGATATTGTATTATTCCCACTTTACAGGTGAAGAATGAATTGGTTTACACAAGGTTAGCAGCTAGTAACATATTAGGAGGAGACATGAAGCCAGGTGTGCCTGAGTCTGACGTTTTTCTCTTTCTACCATCCCAGGGTTCCTTACGAAAGGTAGTGTGAAGCACCTTAGAGTAATTCAAAGGCAGGAGAGGATTACTTCTGACTTGGGGATCAGGGAGGGCTCTAAGGTAGAGAAGGTATCCCAGCTGGATCTTGAAGGGTGGATAAAATTCAACATTTTAGATTTGAGGAGGAAGGAGATCATTCCAGAAGCAGGAATAGTTTGCTCAAAAGCAATAAGAATAAATTATAAGACATATTCAGGGGGTGTTAAGTAACTTGGGGCCAGACTTATAGGATATCTGTGAGCCGCTGATTAAGGAAAGCAGTTACTTCTAAGGTCTTCTAACAGTTCCTGGCATGGAAGAATGAGGCTTTGAGGCTTTCATTTGAATATGTTAGAAACACTATTTTAAATAGGGAAAGCCAAGACCAGAATTTTAATAATTTCTGTAAAGCAGGAATATCCTCACAATATATAGATAATGTGTATTTAAGCTGTATTTTATATTTTAATATTCTTACTGATTTCAGAGAGGAAGGGAGAGGAAGAGAGATAGAAACATCAATGATGAAAGAAAATCATTGATTGGCTGCCTCCTGCATGCCCCACACTGGGGATAGAGCCCACAATCCGGGCATGTGCCCTGATCAGAAATCGAACCAGGACCTCCTGGCTCATAGGTTGAGGCTCAACCACTGGACCACACCGGCTGGGCACATACATAATGTGTGTTTAATTAAAAACATGTAAAGTCATAGGCAATGGGTTGTCATAAGGCTGGTAGTAAGCGAATGTTTGTATTGCTTTGAAATGGAAACAAATAAGTTTTTAAACATGAATAATTTCATCTTCACTAATAGAAAAAAACCACAGTGATACCCCTTTTATAATCTATCACATGAGCAAAAATTAGTGATTGCTTATACTAGCCAGAGGTGTGGGAAAACAGGCAGTTTTAATAAATGAGGTAGCTCCATGCCAAAACAGGTTTGGCTTAGTGGATAGAGTGTAGGTCCCAGGTTCGATTCCGGTCTAAGGCATGTGCGTTGGTTGCGGGCACATCCCCAGTAGGGGTGTGCGGGAGGCAGCTGATGGATGATTCTCATCCATGTTTCTAACTTTCTGTCCCTCTCTCTTCCTCTCTGTAAAAAAATCAATAAAATATATTTAATAAATAAATAAATAAATGAGACACCTCCAAATGTCCTAATAAGGAATAATCTCTGCCATACTTTTAAGTGGAAAAGCATTGTGTAAAATAATAAGTCTAACAATTTGTATTTTTTTAAAAGATAGGTGGGTGGAGGTTAATTAATACATAACAGCTTTGCCTAAGAAGTTCTGTTAGCACTTAAGCCAGTTTTTTGGTTTGTTTTTTTTTGTTTTGTTTTTTTAGTTTTACTTCTTTTATATCAGTATCATTTCTTCCCTTTTTTATCTCCAACTTTGCTACTCAAGTTCCTCTCCAGATCTTCAAGGGGGAGCTGGAGATAACTTCATCTCTAATTATTGTGTGCTTCATTTATTGTTTATTTTTCTTACTATAATTCCTTTATTATTGACCAAGTTTCCTTGGAGTGATTCCAGGGTAGTTCAGCTTCAGGTAGACTGATCCATTTGGTCAGTTTCCAACTGTATTCTTGGCTCACTTCACCCATATGACAGAAGGCAAACAAATATCTTTCTCTCCCACGGATTGCTGGTGACCTTTACACACTGCCCTGGATTAAGTGATTCTCTTCTTATTCCTGATGCATTTTTTCCTTCTAATGCAAACAATTTCCCTCTGCTTAAAAATGCTTTCTGGTGTGTGTGTTTGTGTGTGTACGTACACTTATGTACATATTGGTTATGTACCCAAGAATCTGGCAGCTTGTTCTGATGGTCTCCGAGAAGGCCAGCAAGAGGACCATTGGGCAATGGGTAGTAGGGAGGGAAACTCACTTCTTACTGTGGATGCCACTTTGTTTCTTTTGAGTTTTATACCTTTTATAAGATTAAGTTATAACCTGACTTAGTAAGATATCAAGTGGAATGTAATATATAACTCTATAATGTATATTATTAATTGATAGTATATAAATAGTAGTACACTGGTTATGTCAATTAAGATATAGGTAAATTAATTATGCAGATTTATGGCTATTAAGAGAAATGCTACTTTCCATTTATTTTAACTTTATAGTTCATATAACTTTTCTTATATAATCCTTAAAATAGCCCTGTAACTGGTTATTATCTTCATTTTACAGACACTGTCTCTGTTTTTATGAGAAATGGCACAACATGAAAAAAAAACAACAACACACAAATAAAGAAATGGGTTCAGAAAGGTTAGGTGACCTGAGTTCCACAGATAGTACTTGAGTCCAAATCTAGGGCAGTTTTCCACTGAGCTGAAGGTAGTATTAGTCAGCATATTCCCAAGTTTTTGCGCTTGACCTAGAGTTGGCTACCATCCTTTTTCATCACAGATCCTTTGGTGCCCTCACCCAACACAGAATGTGGCACTAAACAGTCTGATACAAATATGGGCAAGGAGTTTTGGTTTTGGACATTGATATTGCAAACCAAACACAGGAGGCTTATACTGTAACTCAGAAGTTTACTTGCGTCTTTCCTTGTTCTAGGAAGAGTTACAGGCCAACCTGGACCTGATTCAAACCTACAAACTGCATATTGCCCAAGATATCAACCAAGAAAACCTACAGCTCTTCCTGTGTTCTTATAACGGGTACAGTTGCTTCCTATTTACTTAAATGCAGACCAGGTCTAAAAACGTAATGGACTTTTAGGAGAGAGGGGAAGGGGAAATGAACTGCTTCTTCCAACGTGATGGGATTGTTTTGTGCTCTTTTACCTACCACAATAGAACACGAAGGGCTTTTAGACAGGAAAACATCTATCAAGAAGAATGACTGAAGGGTGTTTTGTGCAAGTTCAAGTATCAGTTGTTTTTAGGTGTTTTGAGATTAAAAGTACCAAAAGTCATGTACACACATAAAAACACACAATTTGAAGTAGCACAGAAAAGTGCATGTGGGGGGGACAAATGATAGAATTTTGGGCCTTGATTCAGTTTCTCTTTGCTGACATCTTGTAGAAGTAACACATGAACAGAACCTCATTCTTTTTAGTCAATAACTATGTTAGTTACAAGGAAAACACCCTCCCTCCCCCCCAAAAAATATCCTTCTCTTAAAAGGAATGTATTCCTTTATAAATTAGTTGGAAAATTAAATGCCCTTAGGACTTGAGGATTTCAGTAGTGGTCCTGTTGAGTTTTACAGTTGCCTCCTTTAGCTTCCCACATAGTCCTTCAGGGTTGAGCTAGGAACCTTGTTCCTGCTCTACTATTCAGGATGGCTACTTGTTAACAAACCGCCTAAGGGCCTCTTCCCTCACCGGGTGTGAAAGAAAGATAGTTTTTACATTCCCTGAAATATTTTGGTTTTCATGACCAGGAAATAACCTGAGTTGTCATGATTTTATCTGAAAAATGGCATTGCTTCCCTTGTTTCTCTAGACGCAGAGACCTGGAGATTGAAAGACCCATGCTGGGCCAAAATGATAACAAATCAAAGACTTTAAAGTAAGTCCCTCACTTTCTCCTCTAAATTGCTGGATATCTTTGCTTTTCATAGACGAATTCAGGGTTCAGTGGGGCTTATGTTCTGCTTGCTGAGTGTCGCCTCTTACTTTGGCTTTCTGCAGGTGTTCCACTTTATTGGTGGTAGGGGACAATTCACCCGCAGTTGAGGCTGTGGTAAGTATGTCCTGATGTTGTGAAGATGAATGAGATTGAAATGTAATAAAATGTATATAGCACACTACTGATGCACTAGGAACAGTTTGTAAATACTAGTTTTTGTTATTTCTGATTACAAATATAAGTTCTTGCTCTTTGTTATAAATGAATTCCTCCTTGATCACTAGGTTTCATCAGAAGGGATCAGTTCACTTTGTGTTAGGTAGTTCAATTAAACACTATTTACTTATTGTCAGATTGCTAGCAGCCTTGGTGTTCTACAGCCAGCCACCAGAAGTCTGGGACTGAATCAGCAGGTTGGAAGGCTGCTGGAGCCTGTATGCTTTTCTCTATCTCCTTCTTAAAGACATAGCACATTGTTAAAAATAATATATGCTCATTTTGGAAAATAGAAGAACTTGAGGAAGAATCATGATCCAGTTACCTAAAGGCAAACTTTTATATAAGTTTTTTACAAGGTTTTGTGACTTGATTACTTAATACTTTTTAAAAAATATATATTTTATTGATTTTTTACAGAGAGGAAGGGAGAGGGAGAGAGAGTTAGAAACGTCGATGAGAGAGAAACATCGACCAGCTGCCTCTTGCACACCCCCTACTGGGGATGTGCCCACAACCAAGGTAAGTGCCCTTGACCGGAATTGAACCTGAGACCTTTCAGTCCGCAGACCGATGCTCTACCACTGAGCCAAACCGGTTTCAGCGACTTAATACTTTTGATAGCATTTTTTCATAGTATAAAGTCAGTACATCTGTATAATTCAGTCTTATAAATGTACCTTTGTTTATTTAACCTCATTCTCCTGTTGATTATTTCTGATTTTGTCCCATTAATATGTTGCTGTTGAACATCTTTATAAAACCTGCTTGAATCTTTTATTATTTTTCTGGGAATGGATATCCAGAAGTGTTTCATAAATCTTTGTAAGATTTTTTATGTATTTCGCCAGATTCCTTTCCAAAAAGGACTCATCAGTGTGTTGCCACCAGCAATGTCTGAGAATGCCTGTCCAGCACTAGATTTTTAAATTCCATTTTTTAATTGGTAGGTTAATTAATTTGCACTTCTTTGGTTACAAATGAAGTGACAGTTTTTCATGTCTGTTAGCATTTGCATTTGCTTGTGTTTCCCACAGCATATATAACTTAAAGTACCTGTGTGAAGTTAAATGGTTTTCTTAGGCAGCCTTCACTTTTGCCCTTTTTAGAACAAAATGTTAGGAAGTAAGGCTTTTTAGAAAGGGAACCTGATAACTAATCAGGAGTGCGTACATAGGCAAAAAGGTGGGGCTGGGAGAAGGAGTGTTTATAGGGTAAGATACAGTTGATGATAGATTATATTCACATCTTCCTGTATTGCCCTGTAAAACAGTCTATCTCTCATATAAAATACATGGCATGGCTTGAGCACATAGGAAGCTGACCCTCACATAAAAAATAAAAAAAAATTCCCCACAAGGTAAACCTAAGTAATAAAAGGCTAATATACAATTGTTCAACTGGGAGTTTGACCAGGAGGGAGGGGCCACCTCCCCCCAGCAGGCCCCACCCCCAATCCACACTCGCCCTCCCTCACACACACACACACACACACACACACACACACACACACACCATGGTGGGGGGCAGGCCAACTGGATCCCACCCGTGAACAAATCTGTGCACCGGACCTCTAGTAAAATTAGTGATGATCCCAGTTCACCAAGAAGGATTTTTATATAAAGGTCAGTTTTTTCCGGCCAAAAAGGTAGAGGTAGTTTCTGTGAAAACATCTATAAAGAACATTTTTTCACCCTGGCTGGTGTGGCCTGATTGGACCATTGTCCTGTACACTGGAAGGGCATTGGTTTGATTTGTGGTCAGGGCACATACCTAGGCTTTGGGTTTCATCCCTGGTTGGGGCAAGTATAAGAGGCAACCAATCGATATTTCTCTCTCCCTCCCCCTTCCTCTCTCTAAAATCAATAAATATATCCTCAGGTGAGGGTTTAGAAACACATTTTTTTTTTCATAAATGTGTACTTAAAACAAAAATAGTGTTGTTTTTATAAAATACCCTAGTCCTAACTGGTTTAGCTCAGTGGATAGAGTGTCGGCCTGCGGACTGAAGGGCCCACATTCGTTTCCAGTCAAGGGCATGTACCTTGGTTGCGGGCACATCAAGGGGGGTGTGTAGGAGGCAGTTTATGTTTCTCCCTCATCAATGTTTCTAACTCTCTATCCCTCTCCCCTCCTCTCTGTAAAAAAAAAAAATCAATAAAATATATTTTTAAAAGAAAATACCCTTAATAGAATTCCCAAATAATACTGTTATTTTTTATTTTTTAATATATTTTTTATTTCAAAGAGGAAGGGAGAGGATGAGATAGATACATCAGTGATGAGAGAGAGAGAATCATTGATTGGCTGCCTCCTGCATGCTCCCTATTAGGGACTGAGCCCGCAACCCAGGCATATGCCCTTGACTGGAATTGAACCCAGGACCCTTCAGTCCACAGGCCATTGCTCTATCTATCTGAGCCAAACTAGCTAGGGCTTTTGTCTTTTATAATTGCATAGACTTTATGCAACATTTCCAATGTTTTCAAGACTTTTTAGGTTAGCCCATAAAAGCAAGGTTACTTTTCTGATTTCCACACCTTTGATTTTTTTTTTAAACCTCCCCCTAGGATATTTTTTCCATTCATCTTTAGAAAGAGAGTGGAAGGGAGGGATAAGGGGGAGAGAAAGACAGCAACATCATTGACTGATTGCCTCCCACACTTGCCCCAACCGGGTCTAGGAATCAAACCTGCAACCTAGATTCATGCCCTTGACCAGGAATCGAACCTAAGATCCTTCAGTCCTTGGGCTGACACTAATCACTGAGCAACTGCCCAGGGCTAATTTATTTATATAATATATATATATATATATATATGTGTGTGTGTGTGTGTGTGTTTGTGTGTGTGTGTGTGTGTGTGTGTGTATTTCTTTTTATTGATTATAGAGAAGGGGGGGTACAGAAAAACATATTTATGAAAAAACGTCGATCAGCTGCCTCCTGCATGCCCCCTACTGGGAATTGAGCGGGCAATCCAGGCATGAGCCCTGTCCAGGAATTGAACCAGTGACCTGCTGCAGGGGATGATGCTCAACCAACTGAGCCACACCAGCCAGGGCTCATACCTTTTTTTGTTGTTAATCCTTACTTGAGGATATTTTTTCCAATGATTTTTTTTTTTTTTTTTTTTGAGAGAGAGAGAGAGAGAGAGTAGAAGGGAGGAAGGAGAGGGAATGGGGTGGGAGGAAAAACATTGATGTAAGAGAGACACATCAATAGATACATTGATTGTTTGCCTCCTACATGTATCCCAACTGGGGCTGGGAATTGAACCTGCAACCCAAGTATGAGCCCTTGACCGGAAATCAAACCCTCCGCTCTGGTGTAGTGGGCCAACGCTCTAACCACTGTTCAGAGCTTGGTGGGTGGGGCTCACACCTTTCATGTTTATGGAGAAAAACATTGCTAGCCTAGACAGATGCTGTTCTAGACAGATTTAGATCTAGCTGCCCAGGCAGAGCACTTTAATCCCACAAGCTGGTAGAGAACTGGTCACTGTTGGTAGCTATTGTTCTTAGCATATGTGCTGCCAAAGTGAGCACTGTTCCTAGCTATTCTTGCTCACATTCATTCAGCATCATTTTTTGAGCTTTTCTTATTTGCCTGATGTTTAGAGAACACAAAAAAGAGTAAGATGGAGACTGCATGTGGGGAGTAAACGTGTCAAAAAATAACCATTGTGCTTAGCCTACCAGATATGAGACTTCTTACAAAGTTATAGAAATTATAAATTGTTGAACCAGAGGAAAGCATGATTTATTATATTAAACTAAACTTGGGCGTTTCTTCTTTTAGAAAGTATTTATTGCCTGTCTGCTGTATTCTAAGCACTGTGCCTGTAGTTTTTTTAATTCTACATTTTAGACCCTGGCCAGTGTGTTCAGTAGGTTGGAGCATTGTCCCATACACCAAAAGGTGGCAGGTTTGATTCCTGGTCAGGGCACATACCCAGGTTGCAGGTTGGATCCCTAATTTGCAGGTTTGATCCTCAGGAGGCAATGTATCGATGTTTCTTTCTCACACTCCCTTTCTCTCTCTAAAATCCATAAAGTTCTTTAAAAAAAATTCATCCTGGTTGATGTGGGTCAGTTGGTTGAGTTTCAAAGAGTCTACTTGTATCTAATTCAGTAGTGAAATTAGCTAGATATTTAGATCATCCCATGCACCAAGAGGTCACTGGTTCCATTCCTAGTCAGGGCATATGCCTGGGTTTCAGGCTCAATCCCCCGTTGGGGAGCATGCAGGAAGCAGCCAATTAATGTTTCTTACTCATTTGATGTTTCTCTCTCCCTCTACCTTTCTCTCAAAAATTGATAAAAATATTTTTAAATAAATAATTCTACCCCTTAGAGTTAATGCATATTCTGTATGTTTATTTGTATAGAGAAAAAACTTTGATCCTAGCTTTTCAGTCATCCCTGATTTTATAAGCGTTTTGTATGTACCTGCCCAGAGCAAAAGTTCATCTGGATTACAGGTTCTTTCCTTGGTAATTTCAAAACCTAACTGTCTTTCTGCCTCTGCAGTCCGTCATACAGGCCACTGCTGGTTACTTTCTTTAAATAGCTCACACCCTGTCACCTCAGAAACCTACCGTGGCTTTTTGCCTTCCGTGGTAATCGTCAGTCTGCTTCTCCAGTCTCAACCACTTGCATCCTCCTCATCAGACTCTTGCCCTGAAGCACTATACGTGCTCTGTACATCCACTTCGCATCCCCTGCCTTTGTTTATGCTTCTCCCCAACTCTGGAAGCCTTCAAACACCCACTACTTCTACTGTATCTTCAGAAAGTCTAGTCATTCTTTTACACTTACTCAACTCGCTTGTGAAATTTTAAAGTGATGTCATTCTGCCTTGTATTATGTTTTTATCACACTAGATTCCAAACGCGTAGTGTACAGTGCTTTGTATGTCCATGCTTGGCAAATGTGTAAAAGCTGAGGGATCCAGTTGATCAGATTGGCCAGAAAACATTGCTAAATCTAGAGATTATCTCCCCAAAACATTTTTTTGAGGTCCCTGCCTTTATGGATACAGGAGTACAAGATATCAAATATGTAAATACACAAGGTTATAATTGTTCATTATAATGACTGTTGTGAGAAAAAAACCATAGAGGATTCAACTCTAGATGAGACAGCCAAAAAGACCTTGAGGCACAAAAGAGTCTGTGTGCAAGGAATGGTAACCCCACTCCCTCCAGAGCACAGGCAAAGGTAGGAAATGGACAGAGGAGGTGCACAGAGCTCAACCAGGGTCAGTTGTCTGGGAAACCATCAGGACCACAGCAGGTGATCATGGCCACAGTCCAGTTTACTTTTTTTAAAGAAGTTGGTAATTTGTCCCATGTTATGTAAGGTGGTAGAAGGACTTAAATTCAAAGAGTCTACTTGTAACTAATTCAGTAGTGAAATTAGCTAGATTTTTAGGTCTATTCAGAAATGTCAGATATAAAGAGCATCATATAAATATATATCCTATTTATTTATTTAGGCTGATTTAGCCACCTCCAAACTGAGCTGTTGATCCTGGAAGATCATTCTCATGCCAAGTTATTTCTTCTATTCCTAGTAGTTCCTAAATTTTTCTCCTTTTTATTTTTTATTTTTTATTTTTTAGGTTGAATGCAATTCTCGCCTGAATCCTATAAATACAACTTTGCTAAAGGTAATACATCTTCTTTACTTATTGCCAACCATATCAGAGTATTTTATACAGATTACTGTATTTCTGGAATAGTTGCCCAGAAAGAAGGAAAGCTTCTTTCTCTTGCTCTCTGAGATTCTCTCATTCTTTTTAAGAAAAAATTTCCTTAATATATTCTCATTGTAGAAAATTGGAAAAAAGAGAAAAGTAAAAAGAATTATGTAAGTAAAAATTATCCATAATCTAGAAGTTCTTTATATGCTAAATCCTATTGTATTAGTAAGGAATCTCCCAATAACCTCTCTTTTAGGCAAATAGAGAACAGCTCATGTACTAAATTTTTAGGGTTAGTATCAAGTTTCTCCCCCTTTTGATTGAACTCCAGGCAAAAGCATTACTCTTGCTTTTTCTAGCACCTCTAGTGTAATGTTTATGGACTGACCCTTTGGTTCAAATTTGGAGTCCTGGAGACATGAGTGCTGATTTTATGTTGCTTACTGCTGCTGTCTTCTCAGCCTGGAACACCTGCTTTCTTCCCTTTCTCTTTGAAGTGTGATTGAAAAGGAAGTGCTGTCACTAGAAGCAGCCCATAGTTCCTGGAAATATAGTATGAGGTTAATACTCAGAGGTGACAAAACTTAAGTGTTCTGGGGCCCAGGTGATTGATGAACTACTTTAAAATATGAATGTTTTTAAAGTATGTGATTTCAAATTAGTTTCTCCCTGCAGGTTTGAATCCATACTCCAGAAACAGAAAAGTGATTTTTCAGTAGCCATAGATGTGGGCAAAAGTGCCCATCTACAACCCCATGAGTGAACTGACTTTCCAACTATTTGATAAAAGTCAAGCTTGGAAATAGTTTCTCCCAATATTCTTTCTCTGCATATTGCAACTGATTTATGGTTCTAATCAGATTTTGATTTCTAAACATCATAAAAATACAACCTATGCCAGTTAGGTCTGTTTTATACTTAAATCATGTTAAATGTCTGTTCCTGCTCTTATATTTGTAATTTTCAGGGGACTATTTCTTTTTCTTTTTTTATAATATATTTTATTGATTTTTTTTTACAGAGAGGAAGAGAGAGGGATAGAGAGCTAGAAACATTGATGAGAGAGAATCATCGATCAGCTGCCTACTGCACACCCCCCACCGGGGATGTGCCCGCAACCACGGTACATGCCCTTGACCGGAATCGAACCTGGGACCCTTCAGTCCGCAGGCCGACGCTCTATCCACTGAGCCAAACCGGTTTTGGCACTATTTCTTATTAACCCCAAATTTCTTTACTGTCTGTAGTATCCCATGTGCTAAATAATAGTCCCTCCCTTAAGGAAAGTTTTTGTGCTAGTGAATACAAACCATGCCGTTCACATACTTTTTTTTAAATGCCAGTCAGCCTAAACAGCATACTGTCTGAGTATCAAATGCATAACGGGAAGGAGGAGGGTGGGCTCTTGGTTGGCCATCTTGCTCTAGAAACAGTATTCTCTGCAGACTGACAGAATCTGCATCACCTGGGAGTTTGTTGCAAATGCAAATTCTTGACCCCACCCCAGAATCTCTAGAGCAGGAAACCAAGATTCTGAGTTTTAACGAGTTCTGCAGGTAATTCCAATGCAGAACCCTAGAAATGCTTGCACAAGTGAGAATAATCAGATGTAAAGATTTATGAAGTGCCCTGACCTGTGTGGCTCAGTTGTCATCCTGTACATCAAAAGGTCACCAGTTCAATTCCCAATCAGGGCACATACCCAGCTTGCAGGTTTGATCCCCAGACGGGGTGAAAGCAGGAGGCAACTGATCAATGTTTCTCTCTCCCTCTTCCTTTCTCTCTCTCTAAAAATAAATTTTAAAAATTAGCTAAAAGATTTTAAAAAAGAAAAGAAGATTAGTGAAGTGAGAGACAGCCTCACCAAATCTAGCTATGGCAGGAAAGTGGCTGACCAAGCAAGTTGGCTGAATTCACATCAGCACCTGATTTTTAATTTATTTTTTTAATCCTCACTCAAGGGTATTTTTCCATTGATTTTTAGAGAGAGAGGAAGAGAGAGAGAGACAGAGAGCAACATCGATGTGAGAGAAACACATCAATTGGTTGCCTCTTCCTCATGCCCTGACCAGGGCCAGGGCCGGGGAGGAGCCTGCAACCTGGGGACCCTTTGGTCTGCAGGCCAGCACTCTGTCCACTGAGCCAAACCGGCTGGGGCCAGCTCCTGATTTGAGAATCCCCTTAGGCATGGAATAAATATTACATAGAGCTGAGAGGGAACTTGGAACACATGGAACCCTGAGAAGTTAGGTCACACTGAGGACTCTGAGAGTTACATTTCTTCAGGTGGAGGCGGAACCATGGTTGATGGTGGTGGTGAACTTCACCACCACCCCTAACAGAAAAGTCCCACTGTGGCCTGAACACCAGGCTCTGCACCTTACTGACTAAGTAACAGTATTTTCAGATTATGTACTAGCTCATTGCTAGAATATGTCTTTGGGTAAGAGTGCATTGAGGAGATGCACTTGGACGCAGTTAAACATTAAGTTGAGGAAACTAAAATTCAATCCTATCCTGTTTGAAAGGACTAGTGGATATTCAGAGCATTTCCCCTAAGTGTAAGTTCCAGCTGACTTACATATTTTTCCTCTTAGATGGCAGACTGTGGTGGACTGCCCCAAGTAGTTCAGGTAAGGAGGTGGTTGTTTTTTTTTTTATTAAAAAAAAAAGCATTATTTGACTCTGCTCATTACTTGTACAAACATTAATGCCTTCTTATTTTGTCACCCTAGCCCGGGAAGCTCACCGAGGCCTTCAAGTACTTTCTGCAGGGAATGGGATACAGTAAGTAGTATACAACTTTCTATCTAGCAAAAATTTATCGGTGTTGGGGTCATTTTGACATCTTGTGGGAGCCCACAGTTCTCTGTGCTAGCCAGTCTGAAATCAAGTAGAAACCAAAACAGTTCCACAGTGTGTGTGTGTGTGTGTGTGTGTGTGTGTGTGTGTGTGTGTATGATAAGCTAATACTAAGCAATTAGAGATTATATAGTTATATACCAGGCACTCTGTATTTATAACCTTAAGAGGTAAATTCTGCTATTTGTCCTATCTTATAGAAGAAATTAAGGCTCAAAGAAGCTAAGTACATTTCCCAGAGTGTAACAGTTCAGCCACAGAGCCATGTTCAAACCCTGGCGGTCTGATTGCAGAGCCCCCACGTTGAATCACTGAAGCTTAGGCTGGCCTAGCTATAAATCTGAAATTATGATTTGTGTTTAAACTCAGCTGGTTAATGGCTCCTGTCCTAGAGCAGCGGTTGCCAACCTTTCAGACCTCACAGACCACCAGTGGTCCGCTGACCGCCGGCTGGTGACTGCTGGCCTAGAGAAACAAAAGGGCGACTAGACAAGAAAAGAGTAGCGCCCTCAGGCAAATCTGCTCCACAGCAGGCGGTGAACTTAGAGTAATTTAGAGTAGATCAAAGGATGTGTCCAAAGCACATGCCGCTGTCCTGATCTTGATTCTGAGACCCCTGAGCTTCCTCGTTTGTCACAGACTATCCACACTTGCTCCTTTCTTGGAGTTTTAAGAAAAACTCTTCTCCCGGGTACAGAGCTGTTCGCCTAGGAGGGTGGTTTTCTCCTGTTTTTGGTATTAGTGTGGATAATGGCCATTGGGCAGTCCATCTTCCAGCCCATTTCTTTCTCTTTTTTTTCCTTTTAATATATTTTTATTGATTTCAGAGAGGAAGGAAGGAGAAAGAGATAGAAACATTAATGATGAGAGAGGATAATTAATCGGCTACCTCTTACACGCCCCCTACTGGGGATTGAGTCCGTAACCCAGGCATGTGCCCTGACTGGGAATCAAACCATGACCCCTGGTTCATGTAGGTCGATGCTCAACCACTGAGACACACCAGCCGGGCCTTCCAGGCCATTTCTAATCCAAAGCAGAGAATGCTGTTTATAGTGGAGGGGAAGACTATTACCTTAGACTGGTTGAGGGAATTAATATCTGAGATTCTATAGAGCATTCATCAGCCTCACCTGTCTGAGATAAAACTTCAACCCTGGCACTCTGGTTGATGTAGCTCAGTTGATTGCATGTCATCCCATGCACCAGAAGGTTGCCGATTCTATTTGGGGTCAGGACACATGCGTGGGTTGCAGGCTTGATCCTAAGTAGGGAAGGTACTGGAGCAGCCAATTGATATTTCTTTTTCACATCAATGTTTCTCTCCCTCTCTCTTATCTCTAAAACCGTTTTTTGGGTTTTTTTTCTAAACATATTTAAAAAGTAAAAAACAAAAACTTAATCCTACAAAAAAACTTAATCCTTGGCTTAAGAGTATTCTGTCAGTGTCTGCCAGGCAGCTGAGGTTGTCACTTGGCACTCATGGGTCACTAACCTGCCTTTTCCTGTGTCCACCTGCTTCCAGTCCCGTATGTGCAGCTCAGTCACCTGAGCACCGAGCCAGGTACCTTTCTCTGTGCTGGCCCTGCTCCCACCTCCCAGCCATGCTCTCCCGGCTGCATTGGCTGCCTGCAGCATGTCCGCAGTTTTCCTGTGCAGTGAGAGCCTGATAGAACGTGGTTCATTTCCCCCCAGAGTGTTGGCTTGGGCCCCCAGGAAGGAAGAAAGGAGAGGGTAATACTAGTAATGGTGCTTCTCTCTCATCATCCTAAGTTGAGTTACAGGAGCACTGAAGCCTTATAGGCAGGGTCCTTTTCCCCCATTACCTAAGAAACTTGTATTAACTCCCAGACACAGGAATCAAAGGGCCGCCTTGATTCTAAATAGGACCATCAGAACCTATACCTAGAAATTTCTGTAGGTGATGGCATCTTTTGACCCCAGCATTGAAGTAACAGCCGAGGGGAATGGCTGGTGCTTCAGAAAGATAGGCAGAGAGGTAAGGCCCTGTTCTGGCCGAGTGGAGAATCTTAGGCTCAAAGCAGTGGCAGAACAGGAGTCTGAGTTAAACACCCACCCTCAGAGCCCTTCCCGCTCAGGCAGCCACCAGCTTCAGGCCCTCCAGCCCTCTCTGACCCACACCTTCGTACATGTCTCCTCCCCAGGTAGCACGGTAGCCTGTGGACATGGATAGTAGTCTTGTTGTATCGGGCTTGCACTGTGTTTGTGAAACACCTTCATACTTGTGTGGTTTGTCTTTCTTTTTGGTTTATTCTTGCATGCACTACAGGTTTTGGTTACCTGTATGGGTTCCCAAAGCTTCCTCCCTAATTTTTCATTATGAACGGCGTGGGCATTCTCTGGACTTAGGTTTCTCCTTGTTCCTCTGTGAACAAGAATCAACTAAGACTCCAGATCTAGAGGATTAAAGCAGCCTTGCATATAGCAACTCACCTAGAGCAAATAATGCAAAGTGAAGATGGCTTTATCTTGTCCTGGGTATCACCTTAAATGGATTGGGAAAGCTAAACATAAAGCCTTTGGTGAAACTTCTGGATTAACTGAGTTTAACCAGGGCTCCATCTTCTAGTCTTCTTGGTTCTTTTTTCCAGTACCATCTGCCAGCATGACCCGGCTCGTCCGATCACGAACCCACTCAACCTCAAGTAGTATCGGCTCTGGAGAAAGTGCCTTCAGCCGATCTGTTACCAGCAATCAGTCAGATGGAACTCAAGAATCCGCTGAGTCCCCTGATGTTCTGGACAGACACCAGACCATGGAGGTGTCCTGCTAAGCAGATGCTCCTCCCCTGGACCATGCAAGTCCATCCTCCTCCAACGACCACTCCACAATATAACATTTCATCCAGCAAACCAGCATCTATCTTTAATTCCTGCATGACCACTGACTCTTTCTCTCTGGTATCCTGGATTTATCATTCTCTGCCTGCCCACGCCCCTTTTTGTATGTACCAGGAACCACTTCCATGCCATTACTGTAACATTCCAACATCCTTAACTGATCAAATCTCCACATCTTCTCTTACCAGCTTTTCTCCATGCTTTCCCAACTACATATCTGATAAGATTCTTTAATCCTGACGTATGTGTGTGAGCACGCGTGTCTGTGTTGTATGTGCGTAGATCTGTGGTTTTAGACATGCTTTCTTGTAGAGCTTCTGCAAAACAAAAAAACAAAAAAGGGACTTTTTTTGCATTTTCAATGGTGTTTTTAGGGGAAATATACAGAACAGCTTTCTAGATTGGGTAGGTTACTACATTCTCTTTTGGTTTCAAATTGGTCAACAAGATTTGCAAGGTGACTTCTGAAGAGAGCAGCTCTGAGGAATGTGGACGATCATAATTACTGTTTGGAATCTTGACTGATTGTGACCAATAGAAGAGAGCCTATTACATAGAGAAGCAGGCGGGGTGCCCAGCCACCTCCTCCTGTCCAAATGAATTTTCATACACTATTCTATAAATAAAAGGGAGGGATATGTACTGTTAGAAGCCCACGAATAATGAGGTTCTGTTGCAACATGGAGTAGTTTCCAAGAAGTGGGCGTGGCTTAATTATTAGACTCTATTAGAACAAGAAGGTTGAAAACTAAATGCCAGGTATTCACTCTGCTGGAGCAAAACTGTCTGATTCTACTACCAGGTCTGTGATGGAGAGATGGAGAAACACTCTCCATCCTCCAAAAAGAGAGAGGCATGGCCTGAAAATTATGTCCGCAGTGAAGAAATGGCAGTGGGAAGAGGAACTGGCATTAACATAATATCCTATTTAATCAGTATAGTCTTTTTTTGCAGCACACTTAATGGAAGCTAAGTGAAGTTGAGATAGAACTCATTTCTCAGGAAGATTCTTAATTCTGTGAACACTTTTGTAGGAGGGAAGGGAACAGTCTGTAAGGCAGCCTGTCCAGGTAAAACTGTGTTCATTCTACTACGATGTGAGTATCGCTGGGTGGAGGGTTAAACCAGCTGCCACACAGCCAGGGCCAGCTACTGAGAGCATCGAGATGTAAACACAGGGCGGCATAGTTCCAAATCTTAGGAAGGGGCTTTTCGCCGTAGTATTCGCTTTCTGCCAAGATGGGGAATGCCTCACTCTGCCGGAGTACGACTTTTTACAGATTATTAAATAAAGCTGTACATGTCTCATTGTTACCCAACTGCTGGTCTTATTTCTCTCAAGCCACTCACTGGGCTCAGGGAGGGACCAAGTTACTGAATATGGGTTCTGTGCTGGGCATTTCCACATACTTGATCATCCATCCCACCCAGCGAAGAAATGAAGTCTTGGGATAAATAATTTGCCTAAGGTCATACCGGAAGCTCAAGTCTGTCTCACACATCCTCTTCCCAAACCAAAAATCGTGAGAAGTCCAACCATGGTTCGTGATGGAGGAGAAGCTGAGGTCTTGGAAAGGTGTTCCGTACTGTGTGGGGTTGCTGAGTCCCGCCCCTCAGCAATAATCTACAACCACTTTTTGGTTTTTCAAACAGACCAGCCTGTATTTATCCAGAAATGTCTCTCTTTGTACCCACCAAGAATAATTTCAGGAGGCCACCGTCTCAGGTTAAGTTTGAATGATCCAGGAGCTGCTACAGCCATAGTATAGCAAGGTTGCAGTGTCTGTGGGAGAAACGTAAAATGACTTGGACCCTGCTCAGTCTGGTAGAGGAGATGAAACATGCACGCGGACAGGTCACCAAGCTGAGTTCCCGACATTGCAGGCCAACACAGAGTCCAGGGCTGGCGGAGTTTGATGGACAGTTCCCTCTTACAATCCACACTGCTGCAGCCTTTTTGGCCCCACTTGGCAGAAATGGTTTCCCACCTTAGCCTTGTGCCTGGAGTCAGGCCTCAACTGAATGCACTTTACTGACCCTAACTGCACTCTTTCATCTTCTAGTTTTCATTTTCTTCCTGTTCAGTCCAAAAAATTTTGAGTGCCGGCTTTGTGAGAGAAAAAGGAAAGTGGCCAGGTATACTATCTGTGAGATTGGATAAAGCTCTCTTCCAGCCCGGCTGGCATAACTCAGTGGTTGAGCATTGATTTATGAACCAGGAGGTCACAGTTCGATTCCGGTCAGGGTACATGTCCCGGTTGTGGGCTTGATCCCCAGTAGTGGGGTATGCAGGAAGCAGCTATCTCTCTCCTCCGTTCCTCTCTAAAGTAAATAAAGATTTTTTTTTTTTTCCAAAAGCTCCCTTCCGAATCATTTAATCCAGTTCACATGGCAAAGTGGATTGTCTTACAGAGAACAGCTGAGGAGAGTTATTTGGCCAAGGTCACCTCACTAGAAAATGTTCCTAGTTCTTCCAAAAATCAATGTTTTTTTTTTGTTTTGTTTTTTTTTTTTGAGCACCTACTACAGGCTGGGCCTTTAGTACCTTCCTATATGTTTCCTTCTATTGGCCCAGTGAGATACACGCTAGTTCCATTTTTTGGATGAGAAATGGTCACAAAGCTGCTAAGCGTCGGATCTAGGCTCTAGTGGAGTACACCTCCCCTCTGGCTCCTTCAGCTCTCCATGCCCAGTGCTCACGGCGTTCACGGCAAACCAACCTTGCCGAGCAGAAATGGAGAACCTGAGCTGGAGTCTACTGTATCAGAGCAGTGGATCATTTGGTGTTTTAAAAAAATCTGCAGTAACACTAAGCCCCCTAATGGGAAGGCCGCAAGTGGGTTTGGTTATTGAGATTTCAACAAGCTGGGAATTTAAGTTACGTTTCTGTGACTGAAGGTAACAATCAAAGGCCATGGTATCAGAGATTCTTTATCCCAGCTGAGTGATTTCCAAGCTGGGGGTGTGCATCAGAGTTACCTGGAAAGCATGTGAAAGATTGTTTCTTACTCAGTAGATCGGAGATAGGGCCCAGGAATGTGCATGTCTAACAATTCCTGGATGCTGCTGAGGCTGCTGGTCTCCAAGGACCACACTTGGAGAAGCGCTACACAAAGGTCTTGCTACTCAAAGTGCCTGCAGAACAGCAACAAGGATGTCACCTGGGAGTAGTTAGCAATGCAAACTCTGAACCCCACCCACCACAGACACATTTACCCAAACCTGCTGTGAACAAGATCCCTGGGTGATTCCTATACACGTGGAAGGTTGGGGCACATCACTCCACGGCAGTGCTTCCTGGCTTGCCAGGCACAGGGATCGCTTACCCTGTTTAAAATCCAGAGTCCTAGGCTGCTCCTCCAGTGACTTGCATTCAGATGTGGGAGGATCTCCGGGTTCTGATACTAACAAGCCCCTCGGGTGAATATTATAATCGGGTAAACCTGGAGACTCCTGCTCATTTGCCTCAGTTTTGTGTTCCTTGGGTAAGACCAAGCTGTGAAGGCAGAGAAACAAAACAAAAAACCTTTCCCTCCAGGATCATGACAAGGCAGCTGCTTCTGCCCAGGAAACAGGAACTTGGGGAAGGTGGCTCCTTGATGGTCTGTGATGCCGTCAGAGGAAATGAGTGGTGGTGAGAACCACAGAGTCTGCAGATGTGAGCGAGGAGCCCTGAGGACTCTGTCGCGGGCTCAGAGACCTCTGGGCCTCCTCTGGCCGACTTGTGCTTGGGAGGCTCCCCCAGTCCAGGCTCCCGTCCCATCCCAGGTAACCAGCCACAGGCAGAAACCAGGCTGCCAAAAAGCCCTATCGAGGGCCTCTCCCTGAAGATTCTCCCAGGCCAAGAGGGTGCTGGGTGTCCTAGGACTAAGGATGTTGACCGGCTTCCAGAAGGACCCCCCACAGCCCTAACCTCCAGCCAGAGCATGTGTCTCAGCCGAGCCCCCATTCCAAGCCTCGGGTGACAGAACAGTAAGTACGCTTGTTTTGTTTTCCGATGGCCTTGGGCCTGTGGGAAGGATGGGCCCCTCGGAGACGGGAGTGGGCTTTCTAGGTGGGGGAAAGCTCGAGACGGAGGTTTCTACTTAGGGTAAGGGTGGTTCCTAAGGGTTCTGAAGGAACCGAGGCCCCCCTCGTACACCTCTGTCCTCTGGAGAATCACTGTGCCCTCCAGCTTGTCTGCATGCCTCGTCTGGTCCCATCTCAGTTACCAACTTGCTGTGTGACTTTCCAACTTCAGGGAATGAGAGAAGTCGGGATTGTAATCTCTGAAGACACTTTCAACTCTAGTATCGTCAGTTCCTCTCAAAAGGGTGATATTTCTCAGCTAACAGAGGGAGCACAATCCAAACTTACCACTTTTTTTTTTAATATATTATTGATTTTTTTATAGAGAGGAAGGGAGAGGGAAAGAGAGTTAGAAACATCCATCAGCTGCCTCCTGCACACCCCCGACTGGGGATGTGCCTTCAACCAAGGTACATGCCCTTGACCGAATTGAACCTGGGACCCTTGAGTCCGCAGGCCGACGCTCTGTCCACTGAGCCAAACCAGCTAGGGCTAAACTTACCAGTCTTGCTGCACCACTGAGAAATTATCCTCAGAAGCACAAACACACCAAGGCAGGAATGGCAGGCCTCGCTCTGCACTGACCAGCTGTGTGACAGTGAGCATGAGTGAGGGTGGGCTCTGCAGGCCCTGGTTCTTGTATCTGAGTGGGATTCAAATGCAGGCCTCTCAAAGGATCAGGTGAAATGATGTGAAAACAATGGTGGGCATTGTGCTGATCTCCTTCCACCCACGTTGTGCCTCCTTCCACCCACTGGCCCAAGTCCCCTAACACACAGTAAGTTATTAGAATGCTTCTATTATTATTAGGTCCTCTGTTTTGAAAGTTTTGGCCAGCCCCCCTCCTCCTAGGCCTGCCCACCCCGTGGTCTTCATTTTACCCCCCCCCCCCAGGAGGCTGCCTGGCCCCACAGGTGGAGGGAGCTAGCAGAGGCTGCTGGGGGCTTCTGCTTCCTCCTGCCCATCCCCCAGCTCCACCTGCTGCGGGAAGAAGTTTCTGGGTTCAGCGCAGTTGGTGCTTGTGGTGCCTTTTCTTGCTGAAGGAGGGGAAAACCAGCCTTTACTGAGCACCATTCTGTACCAGGCTCCTCGACTCCCCCATAGCCCTGTGGACGCGGCGTTATCCCTAATCACAGATGAGATGGAAAGGTCGCATGCCCTTTCTGAGGTCACACAGCCCCAGCCTGGGTGGCCTGAATTAATCACTCGTGCCACCTAGGAAAGATGTCCCTTGGGATTTTCTGCACAGTAAACAGAGCCGCACCTCATACTCCAGGGGAAAGGCTGGGGAGGGTGGGAATGTTGAAAGCCTGACCTGAGGGGGTGCCTTAGCAGCGAGGGAGTCAGAGACCTGAGGAGGCAGCAGCACCATCTAGGCTGCCGAGGCTTCAGAATCCCAAAGTCAGCAGGAGGCTCTTCCTAAGGAGGCCTGTTTTGTCTTAAGAGCGCCTGTCCCATGAGTCCTGACACCCCAGTGGGAGGCAGCAGAACCAGGCACTGTCAGCTCCTGTTGATGACACAAGACGGCAGAGCTGAGGGCACGTCCCTTGCACATGTAGTTGCAAGGATTTTTACTCCGGACAGGACTGGCCGGTGAGGCCATAGAAGTCAGTCCATGATAGTGACGGACACCTGTCCTCACCCGGGCTTGGTGTTAAGGTTCAAGGGTAAGGGCTGAGCCTGCTCTATCACAAACTGGTGTGATTATGCATCTCTCTACTGAAAGGAATGAAACCACCTCCATGAAACACTTTAAAACAGTGTTTAGAAAAATCAGCATTACCCTGGAAACCTGGGAATTTAAATTATTTTAAGGATAAGGCAGCTGACCAGCCCTCGTCAGCTAGCTCATTTGGTTAGAGCCTCATCCCAATAAGCCAAGGTTGCAGGTTCCATCCCCTGTTGGGGAACATACAAGCATCAACCACTGAATGCACAAATGGGTGGAACAACAAGTCTCTCCTCTCCCTCCTCGTTTTTGTTGTTGTTTTTTTAAGACCCCTGTCCAAAGAACTAATAATTACATTCGTCCATTTAGTTCATATGTATTGACCACCTTCTATGGGCCAAGGGCCTCACAAAATGCTGGGGGGGAAAACAGGCAAATAAAGAGAGGTCCCATCTTCATTGAGCTGTAGAATAATGGCATCCTGTATAATAAAACCCTAATATGCAAATCGACCGAAAGATAGAATGACTGGTCACTATGAACTGACCACCAGGTTGCAGGCGCTCAATGCAGGAGCTGCCCCTGGTGGTCAGTGCACTTGCATAGGGAGAAATGCGGCTCAGCCAGAAGCTGGGCTCATGCAGGAGCCTCTGCAGCAGCACTAAGGAGCAGCGAGCCAAGCTGTAGGGAGCAGCAAGCAGGCAGACAGTAAGGAGCGAGGAGTCCTGCACCGAGAGAGGACATAGGCCAGGCTGAGGGACCCTGTACCCCCACCCCCAGTGCACCGGGCCTCTAGTACTAAATAAACAAAAGCTTTAATAAATGAATAAAACAGGAAGGAACACAACAGGGAGCCAAGACAGAAAAGGGGAGGCTCTTAGGAGCAGCCTCTGGTGAAGTGACATTCAGGGCAGAGTAACGGAAAAGCAGGCTTTTCACATGTGTGTTATCTCTAGGACCCGTATGTTAAGTATTGTTATCCCCATTTTTCAGATGAGGAAATGGAGGCAGAGAGGAAATGGCTCACACCAATCTTCCAAAGCCTTGCAAGTCATCACTGTGTCACACAGTCTTCAAGTCATCTCATTTTGCCCAGTGTCACCTTAGCTTGCTGTGACACCAGATCCCCTTGTCCACTTTTTTGTTATTGTTAATCCTCACTCAAGGATATTTTCCATTGATCTTTTAGAGAGAGTAGAAGATAGAAGGAAAGGCAGAGACATAACGATGGGAGAGAAACACATCAATTGGTTGCCTCCTATGCACACCCCGATAGGGCCCCAGACCAGGAAGGAGCCTGCAACCAAGATACATGCCCTTGACCAAAATTGAACCCGGACCCTTTGGTCTGCAGGCCGACACGTTATCCAATGAGCCAAACTGGCTAGGGCCCCCTTGTCCACTTCTAACCCTAGCCATGGGTTCTGGTATGCCTAGAGTGAACTCTGACCTATCATTGTCCCCTGTCACCCAAAATATGATCCCAAGTCAGGAAATGGTTCTGAGTAGGCCATCTGAATGAACTGCAAGGGCTAGGGGAATTCAGAGAAAGCTTCCTGGGATAGGGTGGGATTAAGGCAGCCCTGAAGGGGAAATAGGATATTCCAGCCAACGGGAAGGTACACCACACACACAAAGGCCCAGAAACAGAACAGTATGGCTGCAGTACAGTAAAGATGGAAGAAAAGGGGTCCACTCTGAAGAGACCTTCACAGTCTGGAGCCTGGTCCTGATGGGAGGGAGATTATTTGCAGGCATCAGCAAGGAGGTTAGTAGGACAGAGCCAGGGAGGGAGGGGGCGCACCAGGCCCGGGGCCACAGTTCTGTCCCATCACAGCATCTCTTTCAGATTTCTCTCCACGATGTGCTTCTGAGAGCTCTTCTGAGGAGCAATGGGAAGTCAGCCCAGCAGAGGGAAAACCCTGCCAAGCCCAAACTCAAGTCCGTCAGTCCAAGACCAGGGCCCTGTACCCATGCAACCAGGTAAGCTACGGGGCCCAGAATAGCCACGTCTTTCCCAGGCACCATCAGGCTGCACAGGGTCTTCCTGACCAGACACTCCAAACAGCTTCAAGTGTCATTGAGTGCCTGCTGTATACCAGGCCCTCCCCGGGAGCCATCCAGGCAGGACCCTGCTCTGGGAGAGCTTACAGTTTAGCAGTCAGCATTAAACAACCACGTAAAGGAGAACATCTAAGAGAATGACAGGTGCTAACCAGGCTGGGGGACAGTCCTCCAGGCATTTCCCAAGGCTTCCTTCCTCCTCAACCAATTTATTTGGAGACTGATCTGGCAACTCTAAGACCAATCCCACTTCTGCAGCTCTCCATAATTGCACTGTCTGTTACAATATTCTCTAATTGTTTGAAGCTATTTAAATTTAAGTTAACATTAATTTAAATGAAATAAAATTAAATATTCATCTCTTCAGGTCACACTAGCTACATCGTAAGTGCTCAAAGCCAAATATAGCTACTGGCTACCTTAATTAGACAGCAAAATTATAGAACATTTCCATCATCATTTCTATCTATAAAATTCCACTAGGCAATGATGCCCCAAAGCTTCTCCTCTTATCCTGAGAGGTGCTGTGAAATACTTAAAGCGAAATTAGAGCTATGACAATTGGAAAAAAATTGGCATATGCAATGAACATGTTGAACCTATAGCTGTTATTTTCTAAGGTAGTCCTGAATAAAAAATGCTACTTTTTAGGACAATTAGACAATCAAAACAAGTTCTAATATATTTATGTCAAAGCTACTGCCCCTAGTTTGGTTCTCGTTTCCCAAAATAGCCCATACATGCTTTATCAATGAGGCTGATTTGGGGTTTTGATAATGTATTCATCGGAGTTCTGCAGGGAAACAGAACCACAAAACCAATGAGGTATTGGGGTGTGTGTGTGTGTGTGTGTGTGTGTGTGTGTGTGTGTGTAGACACAGAAAGAATTTATTTTAAGAAATTGGCTTATGCCGAAACCTGTTTGGCTCAGTGGTAGAGCGTCGGTCTGCAGACTGAAGAGTCTAAGGTTCGATTCTGGTCAAGGGCATGTACATTGGTTGCGGGCACATCCCCGATAAGGGGGTGTGCAGGAGGCAGCTGGTCGATGTTTCTCTCTCATTGATGTTTCTAGCTCTCTATCTCTCACCCTTCCTCTCTGTAAAAAATCAATAAAATATATTTATTAAAAAGAAAAGAAAAGAAAACAAAAGAAAAGAAAACAAAAGAAAAGAAAAGAAAACAAAAGAAAAGAAAAGAAATTGGCTCATGCAATTGTGGGGGCTGGCAAGTTTCAAATTTGTAGGGCAGGCCGACAGGCTGGTGACCCAGGGAAGAGCTAATGCTGCAGAATTCCAGAGTTGAGTCTGGAGGCAGAATTCCCTCTTCCTCAGTGGACCTCAATCTGCTTTTCTTAACATCTTCAAGTGATTGGAAGAGACCCATGCTCATTATGGAGGGTAATCTGTTTTACTCAAAGTCTACTGATTTAAAATGTTAATCTCATCTAAAAAATACCTCTATAGGGATATCTGGTGTTTGACCAGATATCTGGGGATTGTGGGCTAGCCACATTGAGACATAAAATTAACCATCACAGATAACAGGATTACTCTACACCACATGGCACCTTTAGGAGGAAGGACATGGAAAACACACTTAAACAGAACTAGGAGACGGCAGAACCAAATGTCTGCTTATGAGTGTTGGACAGGATTCTGTCTGAGTCTGAAAATTCTCTTACAATGTCTGGGGCTTTCTTCCCTCTCCTCAGCCCCTGCCCCCAATATCCTCATCTCCCTGATGCCAGCCTCTCCAGCCACTACAGACACTGAGTCCTAAAGCCCTAGGCCCTGTAGCCACACAGTCTGCACAGAGAGCCTGGGGCCCAGCAGGCCTCTCAGGAAGAGACCTGGAAACCACAGACCTACGCCACCTCATTTCCTCTGAATCTAGCTGTAGGCAGAAGCCCCGGGGCTGCTCTTGAGTCATGCCCAGGCTGCTGGGGTAGGGGTTGGGGGTTGGATCTCCCAGGCCCCATGCAGGTGTCCTGCCTTCGGGGGGCCGTGCTCCCTCCTCTGCCAGGGTCCCCAGGAAAAGGGAAGGCCTCTCTCGGCAGGACTAGTTCTGGTCACAGCAGAAACATGGCTTTTGGGCACCCTGTTCCATGCGTTGTCTGTGCCTCAGACTTACATCCATCCAAAAGCTACAGCTTTTGTACCAGGCCTTGTGCACGCACAGCCAAGGTTCACAGAAGCAGACAAGACCACAGTCCCTGCCTTCAGGGACAACCAAGTCCCAGAGATGGGTGCTTAACCAGCAATCAGTTACTACTCTGTTAGTTTGTGTCAACAATGATGTAAGGGACTCTGACCAAGAGTGTCTGCTAAGAGGCTTGTCAGGGAAGGCTTCCGTAAGGGAGGGACATGTCGGGGGGGCGGGGGGGAGTGAAGGGTGCAGGTGAGTCAACCAGTGGGAGGGGGGCAACCTAGGGGACAACATATGCAGCTGAGCAGTACCTAGAGGTGCATGGCCAGGGCTTCCAAAAGGGGGAGGGGCCCTCCCCGGGAACCTGGTTTTGCCCTTATTGCAGGATGCCCTCCACAAGACCTGCTTGCATTGTTTATTCGGGTGTCAGGAATTTCCCTGCTCCATGGCATGTCCAGGCCCTGTGCTGCAGACAGTTCAGAGAAAGAGAACACTCCTATCTGGGGTCACCACAGGGATCCCCACGTGTGTCTGAGAGGACACATAGGAACCAGCCCAGGATGCCTGTGTGAGGGTTGGTGGTGGGATCCCAGACTCCTAGATCTCACATCTGGAGGCAGGGCTGGCCAAGAGGGTGACCATCTCTGTCCCTCCGTCCAGAGAGGAGAAAGCCCACAGCCGTGGCCCTGGGCAGTTTCCCGGTAGGAGAGCAGGCAGAGCTGTCACTGAGACTGGGGGAGCCACTGACCATCCTCTCTGAGTAAGTCATTCCAAGGGCATTGTGTGGGATGATCCCCCCCACCATCCCCCCCAACCCCGATACCTGAAGATGCACTGATGGGAGAAAAGGCCACTCCCTCCAGGAGAGAAGAACATGGCCTTTGGTGCCGAGCTCCCATGTGGCCCTGATGTTGGGATTTCAGGCAGCATGACACACCTACAGGGAGAAGCAGTGGGTGGGCAGGCCATACAGGGGCCATCTATTGCCCAGGGGGGACCTGGATTAGTTGATGCAAGAAAACCTGGGAAACTCGGGTGGGATCCAGCTGGAAAGGCCTGCTGAGAGGGGTCTCCCTCCTTTCTCTGCAGAGACGGAGACTGGTGGACGGTGCTGTCAGAGGGCTCAGGCAGAGAGTACAGCATCCCTAGCGTCCATGTGGCCAAAATCTCCCATGGGTGAGTATCCACGCCAGGCCCTGCTTTAGGGGACCTTCTTGCTTTCACTTCCCACAAGTGTAGTCCGTTATGTCCAGTCCTGTGCTGAACAAAGCTGGGGACGGGGGAGAATCAGGCCCAGGCTCTGCCCTCAGGAGCAGACAGGCCTGTAAGACTTGGGAGCCCAGAGGAGGTGGTTTGCAGGCCATGTGGTGGTGCTGGTAGAGAATGCTAAGGGGGACTTGCAGGAGATGGAGCAGCCTGAATAAATGCCCTGAGGCAAGAAAATAAGGGCCTCTCGGGAGGGGGTGGAGACACGAGACACAGGGTCTCCACAGAGCACTGCCATCTCTCTGCCAAAAGTGAGTGACAAAAGAAACTGACTCCAGAGCCAATTCTGCGCCTGGAGAGAGGAAGGCAGTGCAGTGCCTTTGGGTGGGACCTATCTGAACAACACGGGGCCGGGAACGTGTCCCCGTGCAAGTGCAAGCTGTGACCTCCACTCTTGAGCTCGGAGAGAGGCAGGGCTGCAGACCGCATGGCCGTCCTGTTCCGGGCCTCACGGTGCGTCTGGCTCTGATGAGAGTGACACAGGGACCCGGCACATGTGGGTACCGCATGGAACCAGCTCTCAGGGTGTCTGCAAGCCAGGCGAACCCACCGGGCCACGTGCTTTCTCATGTCTGGGCCTTCCGGTTGGAGGTTCTACATCCACAGCACGGCACTAAGTTTCAGCCACGGGACGCTGACTCCCTCTAGAAGTGCCCTTTCCTTGCCACTCCGCCCTTTACATCCTCAGTTTTCATAACACATGACAGTTTTTACCAGTCAGCAAGAATGACTCGTTTTATTTACTGTAAGATGAGTCTGTTTGCTGCTGGCACCACGTGGGACACAACTTCTCTAATCTATTTAATTGGAATCATCTCAGCCCTGACTTTGGCTTTGACTGTGGAATTTCACAAAATGACACGGAGACAACATTTTCATCAAACCAGCTTCTGTAGACTTGGCCTGGGGGCTTAGGAGGCTGATGGCCTAAGACCAGAAAATTCCTGAACGTCCCACTACAGTTAAGTCCATACAGATATATAGGTGAGGGATTAAGGGAAAAGAGGAAGAAAAATATGGGATCAGAATATTCAAAATCCCATCGGGGAGCAGGGTGGTGGAAGGGCCGGGCTCTAGTGGGCTGCAGGATATTTTCCAAAACCTTAGGCATCTTGAACACTTGACTTCCAGCCTCTGTCCACAAATCAGCTTCGTGGCGAGTTGTATTTCTGTGATAATGAAAAAAGGTTCACCTGAACACCTTTGGCTACAAAGTGAATCTTTAAAATGCCCAAATAAAATATGTAATAAAATTTTAAAACAAAATGCAATGGGCGATTCTTGGGCAGGTGAGTAGCATAGTGGTGAAGGAGCCGGGCTGTGGTAGAAGAGAGGCTAGGATCTCCTACTTGCTCCCGGCTCCCGGGCTCTTGGGAGTGAGATCTCCAGGCAGCAAAGGCTGGGGCTGACCCCAGGAGGTTGTCCTCAGAGATCCCTGGAGCCAGGACCAGGAGGGCAACGTTGGGGGGCCACCCACCCCCAGGCTGACCCCTGTCTGCTTCTTCCCCAGGTGGCTGTACGAGGGCCTGAGCCGGGAGAAAGCTGAGGAATTGCTGTTGCTGCCTGGAAACCCTGGAGGGGCCTTCCTCATTCGGGAGAGCCAGAGCAGGAGAGGTGGGTAAGCCCTCCTGGGGCTTGACTTGGGGGCAGAGGTCAGAGGTGACGTGCAAGGGGCTGGAGTCAGGCAGGCTAGCTGACTGGCTGCCATGAGAGCCCGTTAGCCATTGAGCAGGAACCTGCATTTCCAACAGGGCGTCAGCAGCCCTCGGGAGGGATCCAACAGCACGTCCTTCCCTGATCAGCAGTGACTTCTCCCTCCCAAGACACCAGGTGTGATCCTATCTCTTAGCAAAAAGTTCACAAGAGAACCAAGTCTCCATGCTTCGGGCACCAGCCAGTCAGAGCCAGAAATGACCCTCCTTTCCCTGCTGTTCAGGTGGGGAAAGAGGCCTAAGGAGACGTAGGGACCTGTCACATTGCACATTCCTATGAGACTTCTCCCACCTCAGGTACAGGGCCTTTTGCAAACAAAACATGACGTTGATGGAGTCTGTCTCGGATCCCCTTCCTCCCTCTGAGCCGCTGACCCGAGTCCCTCACAGCAGAGGCAGGGAGGCACGTTGAAGGAGTGGCAGCAGCCACGGTTGTGTTTAGGCCCTCTCAGGGCCCTCAAACCATCCTGTGGGGGTTGTTCTTCCGTTGTACTCATTTTACAGAGAGGAATCTGAGGCTTAGAGGAGAGAAACAATTCGCCTGGGGAGACACAGCTAGGAAGTGCAGAGCTGGGATTCAAACCCAGCCAGAGTTTATCTCACTGTAGACACCCAGGAAAGGCCCACATTGACAATATGGTAGAACTACAAGCACAGTGGTGGGGTAGGGAGGAGATAGTCAGAAGTGAGGACCAGCCTCTTGTTCTTGCCCTAATTATTATAGAAACAACTATGATGGGCTGTCTCACACACACACACACACACACACACACACACACACACACACACACACAGGCTTGCTGGGGTGGGGGCTGGGTCCGAATGCAGCAACTGTAAACAGGAAACCACAGCGATGGTGTTGACTTGGGTCAGGGGCTTGTAGACAGGGCCCCAGTGAGCACTGAAAGCCACAGGAAGTGCTTTGTGCTCAGCTCCCGTGCCCACCCTTCTCTGGCCTCATCAACCCCAAGAGCATACTGACCAGCCCTGTGGTCCCGCTGCTTCTTTCCTAAGAAGGCACATACACCAGGGAAATGTCTGAGAAATACAGGAGAAAGCAGGTAAGGATTCACATTGTGACTGGGGTTGAGGTTAGACTGGACTCTGAGCTTCCCCTCGGCCAACACCACGAAGCAGATAAGGATGCAGCTCTCAGCATCAGAAAAGGAAGAGGCTTGCCAGCTCTGCACGAAAGGCAAAGGCTTTCCTGGTATTACCGTGTCATCCCTCTCTGGGCTTCCTTTTGGATAGTTTGTAGGCCAAGAAATCAGTTTCGTTCCATTGTTATTGAGGGTCTCAAGCTGGTTTTGCCTCAGAATCACCTGGTGGGCTTATTAAAACAAAAAACTGGCCCCCACACCCAGCGCTGATTCAGACGGTCCCGGGCAAGGCCTGAGAATTTTCCTCTCCAACAAGTTCGCAGGTGATGAGGCTGCTGCTGCTGGCCTGGGAACCACACTTTAAAAACCGCTGACTGCCAAAACCGGTTTGGCTCAGTGGATGGAGCTTTGGCCTGCGGACTGAGGGGTCCCAGGTTCGATTCCGGTCGGGGGCGTGTGCCTTGGTTGCGGGCACATCCCCAGTGGGGGGTATGCAGGAGGCAGCTGGTCAATGTTTCTCTCTCATCGACGTTTCTAGCTCTCTATCCCTCTCTCTTTCTCTCTGTAAAAAATCAATAAAATATATTAAACAAACAAACAAACAAACAAAAAACCGCTGACCTAGGCCTTGGCTGCACTTTGAAATCATCTAGGGGAACTTTATAAACTACCGATTCCTGCACCCACCCCCAGAGTTTCTGATTTATTTATTTTATTTTTTTAATATATTTTTATTGATTTTATACTGAGAGGAAGGGAGAGAGACAGAGAGTTAGAAACATCGATGAGAGAGAGTCATCGATCAGCTGCCTCTTGCACACCCCCTACTGGGGATATGCCCGCAACCAGGTACATGCCCTTGACCGGAATCGAACCCGGGACCCTTCAGTCCCCAAGCCAATGCTCTATCCATTGAGCCAAACTGGTCCCGGCCCCAGAGTTTCTGATTTAATTGTTCAAGGCCGGGGCCCTGGAATCTGTAAAAACTCTCCAGGTAACTTTTTTTTTCCTTCTGGTGTGCTGTTTGTTTACTTGTTTTTTGGATTCCACATATTGCATTTGTCTTTACCTGACTTATTTCACTCAGCACAATATCCTTTAGGTCTATCCATGTTGTTGGAAGTGGCAAGATTTCATTGTTTTAAAAAATTTTTTATGGCTGAGTCTTATTTCATTGTATATATGTACCACTTCTTCTTTATTTACTCATTCATTTGTGGGCACTTAGGTTGCTCCATATCCTGGCTATTGTAAATAATACTGCAATGAACAGATGGATACATGTCTTTTTTACTTATTGCTTTGCCCCCAGGTGATTCTGATGTGCAAGCAGGGTCAAAACCCAGGGCCCTGCAATCCACTGATGTAGTGGATCTGGACCAGTGCGTGGGATGAAATATAGCAGAAAACTTAAATGTGTATCACTGAGGTTGGGGAAAATATTGCGTCATCAAACTTTTGTTTGTGTCGTTGGTCATAGTGTAAAATTTCATACTGTGGTTTGTGGTCAAAAAAAGTTTGACACCGCAGCTTTAGGGGCCCGAGTGACATCCTAGAACAGTGCTTCTCAGGCTTGAGTGTACAGGAACCGTCAGGGGAGCTTCTTGACAGTGCAGACTCTGGAGCCCCACCTCACACCTACTGAATCAGACTATTGGGCACCGAGACAGAAATCAGCTCCCTTTACCACCCTCCCCTGTCCTAGTTCTTCTTATGTTCTTTTAAGTTTGAAAACACACTTATAATCTAGGCAACCCAGATTTAAGTAATAAGAGACTGTGTGTTTTATGTTTAAATATATTTAAATCAATAAATATATTGATTTAAATATATTTAAACCAGTGCACGGAATTCATGCACATTAAAAGGGAATTAGAGGAAATGTTTTTAAAAAAATATATTTTATTGATTTTTTACTGAGAGGAAGGGAGAGAGATAGAGAGCCAGAAACATCGATGAGAGAGAAACATCGACCAGCTGCCTCCTGCACATCCTCCACCGGGGATGTGCCCGCAACCAACGTACATGCTCTTGACCGGAATCGAACCAGGGACCTTTCAGTCTGCAGACCGATGCTCTATCACTGAGCCAAACCGGTTTCAGCTAGAGGAAATATTTTAATATTGTTATTTGCCCTTTCTCTATAATAGAAGTGTCAGAGATGAAAGAAAATTAGTAAAATGTATTTGAAAATCTCCTTCCTGTCAGAGTCTGGGGCACACTGTGGGACACAGAGTCAAGTCCCCGCCCACCCACACACACCTCAAAACCAAGTGAGACCCAGACCCGGCAGGCTCCACTCCCATCAAGCCTCACGGGGGGAGGGGGTGCGGCCTCAGGTCCCCCAGCCCCTGCACGAAGGTGTGACAACCACTGCAAATTAGCTCTTTATTATATAGGATGTTGCATCTTGTCATATATAATGGTAGTTAACTATTGACCAAGTGAGTAATATCAGGACCAGCTTCTTTGGCTCGAGGTCCAGATGTACCTCTGGTAAGGCAATTCTGCAGGGGCTTTGAGCCTGTGTGTGGACAGAGGAGGAAGGCCCATGAGCTTCCAAGAACCCTGCTCAGAGTCTGTAGAGAGAGGGAGAAACCGCCCCCCCCTTCCTTTCTCTAGAGTCCCTCTGGGTTGCCTGATTGTGTTCTAGGCCAGGGGGCAGCCATGGCAGGGCCCAAGGCAGGCCCAAAACTTCGGTCTGTATAGGAGCGCTGAAGACTTTGTGGAGGGCATAGGACTGTTCCAGAAGTCAGGGCCAGGCCCCAACAGTATCACCCCCTTGTCTTCCTGCTGTCCTACTATGTGTCTGTTCTGTGTTGGACAATATAAAAGTGATTGATTAGCAAGACATGCTTCTTGCTACAGAGGCGCTCACCTCTGTCCATATCCTGGGAGTCAGGACTGTTAACTCATGGTTCCTGCCCTCAGGCTCAGGCAGTGGAAGGTCTAAGGTTCAGCATCCTCCTCAAGGCTGTCAGCTTCTCAGAGACCTCAGCAGAGGAAGTTCAGGAGGATCCTGCTAGGTCTGCCTCCCACACACAGCTCCTAATCTGACCCCTCTCACCACTATGAGCCACCTCCACCCCCCACCCTCCCCACTCCTGGCATTGTCATCAGAACACCTGGGAGAACATGGTGCTTGACTGAAGAGGTCTCTGCAGGCCAGGCTGTGACGTTGGCTAAGCCTTCTGGAGCGTTCCCAGGGTGAGGACTGGTTCTGAGTAGGGGAGTGACATAATCTGATTTCTCAACTGCTGTGAAGAGAGGATTTGGCAGGGGGACAGGTAGAAATGGGAAGCCATGCAGGCTCCATCCAGGTGAGAAGTGGTCAGACTCTGGATGTGGTTTCAATGTAGCCATTAGGGTTTTCTGTCGGGCTGCATGTGAATTTGAGAGAATGGCAGCAGTCAAGGATGACTCCAGGGTTAGTAGCTTTTACAGAGAAGAAGAGGAATAGAGTTAGAAACACTGATGAGAAAAAAAAGAAATGAACCCCACTTTATAGTTATAAAATTATCTCATATACATCCTCATCTGATGAAAAACTACTAGAAATCTGCAGAGTATAATTTTACAATCTTTTCCATACTCATTTTCAACCATATGCTTTCTTTGCTTAGACAATTTTTTATTTTTAAAAAAATGTATTTTATTGATTTATTTTACAGAGAGGAGAGGGATAGAGAGCTAGAAACATAGATGTTTCGGCTAGACAGTTTTTTAAATTAAAATTTCTGTTGAGCCAAAATCGGTTTGGCTCATGGATAGAGCGTCGGCCTGTAGACTGAAAGGTTCAATTCCGGTCAAAGGCATGTACCTTGGTTACGGGTACATTCCCAGTAGAGGGTGTGCAAGAGGCAGCTGATCAATGATTCTCTCTCATTGATGTTTCTAACTTTCTTTTTTTTTTTTTAATATATATTTTATTGATTTTTTACAGAGGAAGGGAGAGGGAGAGAGAGTTAGAAATGTCAATGAGAGAGAAACATCGACCAGCCGCCTCCTGCACAGCCCCCACCGGGGATGTGCCCACAGCCAATGTACATGCCCTTGACTGGAATCGAACCTGGGACCTTTCAGTCCACAGACCGACGCTCTACTACTGAGCCAAACCGGCTTCGGCTGATGTTTCTAACTTTCTATCCCTCTCTTTCTCTCTGTAAAAAATTAATAAAATATATATTTTTAAAAAATTTCTGTTGAGACCTATCAAACTGTGCACTTTAAGCACATGCATTTTATTATATGTTAATTAGACATCAATAAAGTCGATTTTAAAAATTAAAAAACAAAAACAAAAATGGAAAAATTCTGTCATATTCATGTATATAAGTTAAAGACTAATGAGAAAACCAATATCCAGGTGCGCAATTATCAGCTTAAGAAATTGTACAATCCCTTAAAAGCCCTTTGCATGCTTCACTGTTAACCATTATTGTTTTATTCATAGCTTTACCATATACGTATCTGTATGTAATAGTCTTGACTGCCCTTGACCTTTATATAAATAGAATCATGCTGAATGTATGCTTCTGCTTCATTTCATTATTTTTAAGGTTTACCTGTGCTTAAGTGAGTAGTGGCTATTAACTTTTACTGCTTTGTAGTCTTAAATTATATAATGCACCATTCTACTGAGTGCCCATGGGCTGTTCACAATTTGGGGCTTTTCCAAACAATGCTATGAATATTGCTCGTGCATTTCTAAGGTAACATTTTGGGATGGAACTGCTGGGTTAAGAGGTAGGTGCATGGTCAGCTCAACCAGTTAATTGTCAACTGTTTCCAAAGTGGCTTGTTTGTACTAATTCATCTTTTCACCAGCAGGGTGAGGTTCCTCTTTCTCCATGTCCCTGCTGATATCTACTGATACATTTTCACATTCTAACTCTTCTGCCCCCTTGAGTCTTCCTAACAGCCAATACTTAATGCTCATTGAAACTGTGCCAAGCTCTGTATCCATGATCTCGTTTCACAAAAGCCCTATCTATTATGTATTGTCATTTATGACCAAGAGAACAAGACTTTGTCCTTTTCTGCCTATTTCTTCTGCCTGGACCCAAGGCTATCCATCTCTTCTTCCTGGGCAGAGCCAAGTCCCAGCAGGACCTCAGTCCCACCTTGGACTCTTTCCTCCTTAGGCTGTTACTCCTTGTCAGTCCGCCTCAGCCGCCCTGCATCCTGGGACCGGATCAGACACTACAGGATCCAACGCCTTGACAACGGCTGGTTGTACATCTCGCCGCGCTTCACTTTCCCCTCACTCCAGGCCCTCGTGGACCATTACTCTGGTACGGCCTTTCCTTGCCTCCGTGAGTAGACTGGGATGTGACTTTTAGGGGTCAGAGAATCCTTAGACACTTTACCTGCTAAAGACTATCCAGACAGATGGAAGAAGGCCTCCCCTACCCTCATGCCAGTTCCTGTGCCAAGAAACACAGACTTACAGCTGTTATTTATTCTTTTTAAACAAACATATTTTTATTGATTTGAGAGAAAAAGGGAGAGGGAGTGATAGAAACAATAATGAGAATCATTGATAGGCTGCTTCCTGCATGCCCCATTCTGGGGATCAAGCCCACAACCTGGCATCATGTGCCATGACCTGCAATCAAACCGTGACCTCCTGGTTCATAGGCCAACGCTCAATCACTGAGCCACACCAGCCAGGCAAGGCAGTCCTGTCTTTATCCTGTGTGTGAGTGTAGGCCACTAACTTATCCACCGCTGAAGTTCTGAGTCAAAGCTCTAGCGGGAAGCACAGTTGTCTCTACAGAAACTAGGCCCAGATCTGTTGCAACTGTGGTATTCAAGTTCTTAGCATTTTATGTGCCTGTGCAGTTACAGGCACTGGACGATGTAGAGGGGAGAATAAAATGGAAAGCTGATCAGGGGTTTGCTGGAAGGTTATTCATGCGATACTGAGCATTCCATAGTTTTCTTCCCGAAGGGCTTTCCTAGCCAGGAACTGGACTTACCCAGAACCAAAGTAAAGTTACGTCTCCCAGAATTACTTTTTAAAAATATACATATTTTATTGATTTTTTTACAGAGAGGAAGGGAGAGAGATAGAGCTAGAAACATCGATGAGAGAAACATCGATCAGCTGCCCCCTGCACACCAGCCACTAGGGATGTGCCTGCAACCAAGGTACATGCCCTTGACCAGAATCGAGCCTGGAACCTTTCAGTCCGCAGACCAAACCTTTCTATCCACTGAGCCAATCCAGTTCGGCCAGAAAGACTTTTGATTGCATCTCAGCCTCTAGGAGACGAACAGCTTGGTACTCTTGCGCTGTAATCCTTTTTAGACCATGCCCCAATCTGCCAAGTGTGCAAAGCTGTCAGGTGAGGGTAGTAGTGGTTGGGGAGGAAAGCGGGGCTGGAGTCACCCATGTCAAGGGTCTAGGTCTCTTCCTCAGAGCTGGCGGATGACATCTGCTGCCTCCTCAAGAAGCCCTGTGCCCTGCGGAGAGCTGGCCCAGTCCCTGGCAAGGACATACCTTTACCTGTGACTGTGCAGAGGGCACCCCTCAATTGGAAAGAGCTGGACAGGTGAGAGGAACTCTGGGACATGGAGGCAGAACAAGAGGTAGGCTTGACCCTTGGGAACTCACCACCCAGAATGAACCTGGGGGACCAGATTGAGCTCTTCAGAGGCCAGCCTAGGCTCAGCAGGCGGGTAAAGGGCAGTGACAGAGAGGAAAAAATGGGCATGCGATGGGCAGCCTGGACATGAAGGTGGCCAGAATGGGAGGAAGGTCAGAAAAGGTAAGGTAGAACGAAGAGTACCAGTCCTGAGTGAAGAGGTCAAGCTCTAGTTTGATCTGATAGGAAACAGAGAGCCACTGTGAATTTTTTTTAGCAGGAGTTAAAAACGGTGAACTGGTGAAGGGAAGACGGCTCCTGACCCAGCTCTTTTCCACTCTCCACAGCTCCCTCCTGTTCTCGGAAGCACCTGCCACCGGGGAGGCGTCTCTCATCAGCGAGGGACTCCGGGAGGCCCTCAGCTCCTACATCAGCCTGACTGATGACATCTCCCAAAGGCCAAAAGGGGAACCAAGGTTGTAGCACCTAGAACACCAAGGTGCTCAGCCTAACTGCGAACCCACAGGCAAGACTATACTGAGTGAGGGGAGAACAGGGATACAGAGGCACATTCACAGTCTCACCTCTTACCTTGTTCCTTCCTCTCAGCTCTAATAAGTCATATACCTCCTCCCAGTGGCATGGTCCTGCCTGCAATCTCTCGTTCAAGAACGGACCAGCTGAGAGCAAGGCCAGGGCTCCAAAGAGCCTAAACTTCCTCTGGGTCTAACGTAGTCTGTGCCCAAGTTTGGGAATTCCAGCACATCTTCCTCCCCTGATAACTATCAGTCCCATTTGAACTTGCTAACCAGTTTCCCAGTCCCACTCACGAGGTAAAAACAACCAGTAGCATCAAGGCAAACACATTTAAAAAAAATTTACAAGGGGCAGGAAAGCAGAGGGAAGAGATGGTTCACCAGAGCAACAGAACCTGGACTGTCCGGCTTCCCCCTCACCCTAGAGCAAAGAGGACATCTGACAGAACAAGTCCTGAACTGTCCTCACCAAGCCCCTTCTCTGGACAGTTGTAGCTCTCTGATTTCATTTCATTTTGCAACTTATTATTGGGATCTGGCTAAGCCTTGCTGGCCTTGCCATCTAGTGGCCTAATGCAAAATGACACCTTCTGAGACTAGGACAGCGTGATGAGGTCACTTCTGTGTGGCTCTCAGTGCTGGGCGGGGGCACTAGGCATCAGAAAGTGGTAAGCCCTCTCTCTACAAAGCTAAGACCTTGGCCTTAACCCATAAAAGGAAAGAAGCCTGACTGGGGCTGCTAAAGGAGCAGGAAGAGGACGAGGGATGGAGATGGGAGGTTACCACTTCTAGTGTTCCGACTAGGTTCTTAAGCCAGAGGGGAAGGCGGGAAAGGGCTTTACCAGGTATCATCAACAGTTGTCAATTAAAGATCTGATTTATTCAAGTATCTGAAAACATTCTACAATGGAAATTGTTACCAGATGCTGCTTATACTGTGCTATGGACCACACACATATTGCCATACTGTTTTTTGGAAGACTTGAAATGCCACTGACAGTTTAAAAATTGTACACCTGATGGAGAAGTGAGGAAGACAATTTAATGTTTCATCCATATCCAGAGATGCATCAAATTAAATGACAGCTTCAATCTGCAAACAAGTGTTTCATGATGATATCCAAGAAGAAATGATTGGTGATGGACAATTAGAAATGCCTTCCCAAAGGTGGATGGTTCTTTAAAAAGTTTTAGGTCACAACCCTTGCAGAAAACACTGATGCCCAACACACTGATTCTCGGTCCAGGAAACATGGGTCTTCCAGGTTCCATGTGGCTGAGGTGCCCCTATCACCATGTTTCATGCTGTAGCTGAGAGTCCTTTGGACCGACAGGGAGCAGGTGGAGACTGTTCACCATCAGTCATAGTGGATGGCAGTGTAAAAGATAATCCAGATGACCTAGAGAGGAGACAAGCAATGTTCATAGGTCACCTAGTCAAAGTAGGCCCATATTCCACAAAACAAAAATGTCAGATAAGATGTCTGCACGGCGGGCTTCCCAGGGGCTACCAATGCATAATTTCACTGAAATCAAGCCTGTCTCTAACAGCCGAGGACCACCCACCTGTGCCCCCAAAGGGACCCTGGAAAAGCCTCTCACCCTGCCATACAGCAAACTAAGCACCAGGGAGTGGAGTTATAAATGTAGAAACGAAACAGGTAAAGCAGACTGTACTTCCAAGAGATGTTAGGATTAGCCATAAATGTGAAAACAAAATCACTTTTACACCATCAGAAAAATCACAGATTCTCAAAACCGACTGCTCATTGCATCTAGGACTTTTAAAAGTATTACTACTATATAAATGCCGAGGTACCCCTCCCAGAGGTTTTTATTTTTTTGGTTTGGGCTAGGGTCTATAAATTAAAACAAAAACAATGCGTGGCCAGTGTTGCTGTGATTGAGTGTTGACCCATGAAATAGGAGTTCACGGTTAGATTCCCAGTTAAGGCACATGCCCGGGTTGTGGGCTTGATCCCTAGTGGGGGGCATGCAAGAGGCAGCCGATCCATGATTTTCTCTCATCATTGATGTTTCTATCCCTCTCTCTGAAATCAATAAAAGCACATATAAATAATACTAAAACAATAAAACTGAGGTATAATTTATATTCCATAAATATACAATTCTGAGGGGTTTTTTTCTGGTGTTTTTACTTTTTTTTTTTTTTTTTTTTTTTTACTGAATCCATTTAAAAAACACACAATTCAGAAGATTTTAGTATAGTCACAGAGGTGTGTAAACATCACCATATAAATGTTTCTGTAACATTTAATTATCATCAAAAGAAAATAAATTCCCATTATCAGTTATCATCCTTCCTCCCCCCCCCCCCCCCCCCACTTCCCAAAGCCACTGGTAATCACTAACTTTTTGTCTGTTTGAATTTTCACATAAATGGATTCATACATGAGATCTTTTGTCTTGATTCTTTCACTTAGCATGTTCTCTAGGTTTATCATGTTGCAGCATCTATCAGTACTTCATTCCTTTTTATGGTCAAATAATATTCTGTATGAATACATTTTATTTATGTATCAGGTGATGACTTTGTATATGTTAGCTATTATGAATAATGCTATGCATATATTTTTAAAAGTTTCCTAGTTTCTAATATACAGCAGAGTTGACAATCAGATGTAAAACTGATGATGGGCTCTGGATTTGCACAACAAGACTACAGTTAATCACACTTTTGGGACAACATGACTCAAGCGTGGACATGCCCTCCAGACTCAACTTTTTAAAAAAATGGTACCCCAATCACAGTGTGAAATCAGTAGGCTCCCCTTGAGTGATTTATAAAATGACACTACTTGCTATAAAACTATCAGGTACACATACCATGAACAAGGCAAAAGATGTCATAAACCCTTCTTTCGTGAGTTCCCATGTGCCACCATATTCTTCTTCATCTATCTGTAGGTAGTTGCTGAAGTAGAGGTACAGGACTCCTGCATTGATCAGGCAGAACCTGGAGTGAGGGCAGACAAGCATCAAAAGTATTATAGAAGACTCAGGACCCCTGCCACCACGGCCAGCTCTGCCAGGCTCTCACGGTCACAGTTAACTGCCTCTGTTACCAGGGAAAGTGAGTTAATGCATGAAAACCCCTCAGTCCTCAAAGGAGCTGCCCATTCCGCTGACCTAGAGACTTAAAGAAGGAACAACTTTTTTTAGTTGCCCAGCCAAAGCAAAAAATAAATTAAGAAGCAGATGTAAGTTCTCCAAGCACCCTTAAAGTAAGATAGACAGGTCCTAAGTAGGACCAGTATTTACTGGAGTCTCTAGGTAGCTCCTGCAGGGATGAGGGATGGCCATGGGATAAACACAGGTTAAGCTGCTGCTTCATGCCTAATTGAGCAAGCAAGGGCATATACTAAAAAAGCCCATGCAAATTTCCCATTGGGAGACAACTTCTGGATGGCCACTGTCTGCTACTGCACTTGATACAGATGTGAACATACCAGTACCTGCCCTCAGCTTGCCATCTACTAGGGGGCAAAAAACAGCAGTGAAACCTTGGCCAGTGTGGCTTAGTAGGCTGGAGCGTCATTCGATTCCCAGTCAGGGCACATGCCCAAGTTGTAGGAAGCAAATGATCCATGTTTTTCTCTCAAATCAATAGCTCTAGCCAGGTTTGGCTCAGTGGATTGAATGTTGGCCCCTAGACTGAAGGGTCGCAGGTTCAATTCTGGTCAAGACCTCCATTGCAGGTCGATCCCCAAACCCAGTTGGGGTGCAAGAGGGAGGCCACCAATCGATATCTCTCTCACATTGATATTTATCTGTCTGTCTCCCTCCCTTCTGCCTTCTCTAAAAATCATGGGAAAATATCCTTGGGTGAAGATTAACAAATAATAGTGATAATACCAGTAGTGAGAGTGGAATTGAAACGGAGGTTTGCAAGCGCCTCTAGGAAGGTCTCGGAGCCCCATCATGTATTATTTCACTGATGGAAGAATTAGAATGCAGTGAGTAGTAATAGTCGCCCTGCTCCACTCTCTTGGTAGGGTCATCAGGTAAATGTAACTTATAAAGTCATCAAGACTTTGATCCTTCCAGTTATAATATCTAATCTAATGGGGGACTATATGTCTTAAGTTCCATTCCTTCTGTAGACTGAGGTAGAAACATGTAAAGATAACTGGTTCCTTTGAGTGGATGAAGTGTGAGCTGATGAAGGCCAGGCAGTTAGATGATGCTGAGAATGTAAACTATAATAGTATATAAGGAGGGCGGGGAGGATCCTGAGGCAGCCTGAGCAAAGTGGGGGCGAGGTAGGGTGTGTTTACTTCAGGAAGTCTAGTTTCTAGGCAGTGCAAGTGCGAACTTTCTCCTGAGTAGAAGGAATTGGAGTTGGGAGACTGGTTTAGACCTCTACCATGTTTCAGGACAAGAGTGCAAATAAAGTTTGAGGACAATTACTAGGACAGTGGCAGAATGGGGAGGGAAGACGTCCCAAAGGCTGGAGCCTAGGGGCCTGGAAGTACAATGGTTTCAGTAACAGAAGTAAGGAGTCGGGAAGAACGAAGGTTTTACTTGGATTTCACCTAAAATTGGCTTGGTTATATTGTGACCACATCCTTATCTTTTGCTAGAAATCTTGGGACCTGGCCAATCTGGCTACTTCCCTATAACAAGAGTTGCATTTTGGGCAGGGTGAGTTTGTGGCTCCAGACAGACTACTAATGGGACTTAAAAATGTCATTCTGGGATTGATTGATCTTATAAGCTAGGGCTAGAGAATGACTGGAAATTCATCAAATGAGATGAGCTGTAAGAGTGGCTGATTGGTGAGATGAGAGGGAAATACAAGGGAAAGGTGAGGGCTGCAAGTCTGACATGCTTGGTGTAGACAAAGAAATAAACATGCTGGATTGGGGGTTGGAGAAGAACATTAAAAAAGACTGACTTTCATATAGGCTTTTAAAAATTCTATCTTACACCCTGGCCGGGTAACTCAATTGGTCAGAGTATCATCCTGTGGGTTCAATCTCTGGTCAGGGCAGATACAAGAGCCAAGCAATGAATGTATCAATATATGGAACAACAAATCAATATTTCTCTCCTTCTCTCTAAAATAAATTTAAATTCTATTCTAAAAACTGTCATAATTTAACAAAATAATGGCTCTAACGAATATGATGACTTCAGGGATGGAAGACTACATGACAACAGCAATGTATGGCCCTGCTTTCAGTGGTCAATGGCAATGCTTGTTAGAAAGAAATTTAACGAGCGTTCACTGGGCACCTATTAATGTGCTCCAAGCTCTATGAGAAACAGGAAAGGATGGACTGAGCCATTTACAATCATGCAAAACCTCAGCAGACACAGCAGAACCATCACTTAGTTCTCATGCAAATTATAATTGAGAGCTGAGGAAATTATTTTACCTTAATGGGCCCTAACAGGTGACCCCACCAGAAAGGAGGAGACAAGCTGGGGTCAAAAAGAGAGCAGCTACAGCAGAAATGGGAGGAGCGTCACCAGAACTGAGCACCAGGGCGCTCTGCCCTTCAGTCCAGGCAGCTGGGTCAGACAGATGGAGGAGAGGAGATGTGAGCAGAAAATCCAATGTCCTTGGGTCCTTTCCAAGAGCAGGGGAAAAGGTGCCAACCAAAGGAGAGAAGGGATTCAAGTTTTGGCTCTGGCAGGACAGTGTGGGACTGTACCCCAGAAAACTGTATTTTACCATTCTTTGTAAAGCTAATCATAGAGTAATTGCAGTGAACCATTTATGGAGTGCCTTGAGGTCTTCAGCACTATAGTCAGCAATTTACATTATTTCATTTAATTTATATATCTTATAAGGCAGGCATTTTTATTGCCCCGTTTTTAAAAAACATATTTTTATTGATTTCAGGGAGAGGGAGAGGAGGAAGGAGAGGGGGAAAGGGAGAGGAGGAAGGGGAGGGGGAGGGGGGCTCAAATGGGGTGACCAATATTCTAAAAATATCATCTATAACCACTCCCTTCCTGGGAAAAGCTCTGTGGCCACAGGTCCTATGTCTCATAATCCCAAATCAGCCTTCATCAAGTGTGCACTCCATCCAAGTCAGGCAGAGATTAAACTCTTACTCTTCTACAAATGCTTTACTCAGTATCATAAATCAAAAATCTTCTTAGCCTGGCCGGTGTGGCTCAGTGGTTGAGCCAAGAAGTCACCAGTTCCATTCCGTTAGGGCACATGCCTGGGTTGCAGGCCTGATCCCAGTGGGGAACATGTAGGAAGCAGCCCATCAATGATTCTCTCTCATCATTGATGTTTCTATTTTTTTTTTTAATCTTTCTCTCCCTCTCCCTCCCTGAAATCAATAAAAATATATTTAAAAAAAAAAAAAAAAAAAAAAAAAAAAGGCAGAGCTACAACCAGGAGCTAGTGTCAATCATTTCCACTGGCCACAGTAGAAGATGGAGGGCCAAACCTTCCACTTTTTCACTGTCTCTAAAATATAAGCACCTCAAACAGCTGAAAAAGCCAAGATTCAGCATGTCCAGCATAGTGCCAGGCACAAGTATAGAAGCTCTTCTACTTTCCAAACTTCCATACAAAGGTCATGCTAGAACTAGATGATGCCTGCCATCAACAGGCATGTGGTATCCTCTTGCATGAGGTCACTTTGGACCCATGAATGAATGGACTAGCCCAACCTTCAGGAAGTAACATACCTGATCTAAGATGCTCCTGGGCTTGATGAACTGAGGAGTGCCACGGTGAGGCCAACTTTTTGCTTTAATCATTACACCCACACACAGAGTCATTTACTGTAATAATTTAAAAACCCTCCAATGTAGTAACAGCCTTTCCCATAAAATGAAAATAAAGTCCCTATTTGAAAAAAGAAATGATATCACAAAACTGCAAGATACCCAAGACTTACCCTGCTATTCCCAAGAAACCTCGCAATGGCAACACTCCCCAAATGACACCCAGAACCACAGCGATAATCTGTCGGAACCAGTAGATCACATCTAAAAATTCATCCTGTAGAAAAAAGAGAAACTGCATGCATTATCTGGAGTGGGTGCCACAGTAGAACCTCTGGTAATAGGTGAGGAACAGAAAAGCTTCCCACATATCTTTCAGGGAATTGTCCCCCAAAAGCAAGAATATTAGGCTCTCGCATCTCCACCTCTTCTTGTACTAAAAGGTAGTAAACATACACACACACACACACACACACACACACACACACACTACTTGTCCTGAGTGATGACTTCTAAGGGTGTGCTCTAAATAAAAATTTTAGAAAAATCCATTTATCTTCTTTGAGAAGCTGCAAAGATTAAATGGCTGTTAGTAACCGTGATCCTGGGCACTGATAACGCTTCTCTCACCTGAGAAGACCTGGACACGCTAGCCCCAGGAAGAAGGGCTGACAGTCAACCTACTCAGCACTATCTTCCTGCACACCGAGTTTTGAATAAGTCACAAAGGATAGAAAGGATTAGAAACAAAAGTGTTGGAGGCAGGTGCCAGCATACCTATTTTACCTGCAAGGACAGGGAAGACTCAGGTTTCTGACCTGCCCTAGATTGCAGAACCAGTCCTTACAGAAGGAAAGAGAGCAATGACACAGCAGATCAGGAAGGTGTTACAGGAGCTGGGGCACCTTTAGGAAGTGCTCCCACCCCTTCTTACTGGAGCTCCAGGAAGGAAAACCTAATTCACCGTCTACTCCCCCATCTCCCCCCCCCCCAAAAAAAAAAGACTGGAATCAAGCTGTTTGTAATGGTCCCTTCCAGATCATGGTTTGGGAGTGCCCAAACTCAGATCTGAATGTGTGTGACCGACCAGTAAGGAAAAGGAAATTTTGAAGCCCCAACAATTCCTCACATATATGTTCTCTCTCTCTCCTTCCTTTTCCTCTTCTTCCTCCTCCTTGCAAGGTGGTCTGTCTCCCCACAACTCTCACACGTAAGGTTTTCCTTATTCAACAGTAAAGTAATGGCAACTCACTTTTTTTTTTTTTTTTTTTTTTTTACAGAGAGGAAGGGTAGAGAGAAACATCGATCATCTGCCTTTTGCACACTCCCTACTAGGGTTGTGCCGGCAACCAAGGCACATGCCCTTGACCGGAATCGAACCTGGGCCCCTTCGGTGCGCAGGCCGACGCGCCATCCCCTGAGGCAGAGCGGTGCGGGCACGGCAGCTCACCTCCAGTGAGCCTCGCTGTGTGCTCCCTCGTCAAGGCGCCGCTGCGGGGGCCCCGCTCAGCTGCTCTGCAAGCAGGCGGAGAGCACCCGTCCAAGTCCCGGGAGGCGTCTGTGGCCGTTACTTCTCGTGCTAACGACTTAGTTAACTATTAATTCCGAGACGGTGAGTCCCTTAAAAGGTAAAGGCGGAGGCCAAGTCGAATTCAGCTCAGTCTCACCGTTCAAGCAGCACACACGCCCTGCCGGCGTGTGACCCTCTCTGCCCCCTCCACGCTGCCGCTCGGTGCCCCGGACGGCCTGCCCGTGAGGCCACCCGCGGGGGCCCCTCGCTCAGCGCTCAGCGGGGCCCGCCGAGGCCGCCACCCTCGGGCCACCCGCCCCAGCAGCCCAAACGATCGGCGGTACCCGGGGGGCAAGCTCGGGCCGGTCCCTCCGTCCGCAAGTGCCAGCGGCTCCTCACGCCGGCGCCCTCCCAGCCCCACCTCACCTTGTCCTCCCAGGCCGCGTCGCTTCGCAGCACCTTGCTCCACACAGAGACTTTGAGGGCGCCGTTGGCCAGCTGCGGCTGAGGCGGCTCCTCCTTCCGCCTCCCGCCGCTCATCCTATCGTCGCGCCCCCCGGACCGGGCTGGGGCGCGCGGGCCGAGCCAAAAGGAGGCGGGGTCTGGGGCCGCGGGTCTCGGCGTTCGGGGAAGCAGGGGAGGCTCCGCAGGCTGGCTCAGGGGAGCGCTGCAGCCGCCCGCCCTGGGCCGAGCAGTAGGCTCAGCTCGCTCGGCCGAGACCAGGTGCCGCGGAGGGAGGGAGGAGCAACGCAGCGCCGTGCGTCCTCCCGGCGACGTGCTCACGCAGCCAATCAGCGGCCACGCAGCCGCCGGAGTGGCGGGGGGTGAGGAGGGGGAAGTACCCGTGGACTCCGCGCAAGCGCTCTACGCATGACGGAAGTGACGGCAAGCTCTCTGCACGACGGAAGGAGCAATCTTGGGAGCGGAGCGACACGAGCGCGAGGCGGCGCTGTGGAGACTGGAGAATGGAAGGGAGAGCGAAGGTTGGAGTTGAGCGTCGCCCAGTTCGCCACGGCTCGTCCATTGGAGCAGGGGGGCTAGAACACGACCCTGGCTTTCCCCAGGGTCCGTTCTAGCCCAACTCTGCTCCTCTGGAGCCTCACGCTGCCTCTTATTATGCAGCCCCTGCTCGTTTTCTCCTTAACACTACTAATACATGTTCCGTAGGACCTTGTTCACGATGCTAGCTCTTGTCTGTAATAACTTACTGTCTCATCTTGCCCAGCACCCTCTTTTGGTTAGTGAGCCCTGATACCCAAAGAGGAGAAGTGATTTTCTAAGGCTGCAGTGCAAATTGGAACCAGCTGAGGACTCCTCACGGGGTTGAAGTGGAGAAAGTACCCCTTTAAAATTTTTTTTTTTTTTTTTTTTTTTTTTTTTTTTTTTTTTTTTTTACAGAATGGAAGGGAGAGGGATAGTTAGAAACACCGACCAGCTGCCTCCTGCACGCCCTCTACTGGGGATGCGCCCGCAACCAAGGTACATGCCCTTGACTGGAATTGAACCAGGGACCCTTCAGTCTGCAGGCCAAAGCTCTATCCACTGAGACAAACCAGTTAGGGCGAGAAAGTACTTCTTTAGGTATCAGAATATCAGTATGTGCTAGGTCAGTGATCCACAAAGTGTGTTTCTGGACCAGCAGCGGCCACATCACCTGGAAAGTTGATTAGAGATGTAAATTCTCGGACCTCCTCAGAAATCATCCAACTAATACCTGGGTTTGTCTGACTTTAAAATTTGTATTTTTAACCCTAAGCTTTAAGTTTTAAAGAATAACAATAAGGTCAAAACATCCGTTGCGTACAAACATTCACTGTAGTGCTCCACCTTAGGTGAGCAGCAGAATCTCCTAGAGAGCTTTTTTCAGAATTCCGCAGCTGGCGTTTTCCACCACAGTCTAACCCCAAGATCCTGTTTGAGGAGTCTGAGTGGGGCTGGACCCCAAAGGGCTACATGACTGCAGTTAGACATTACTCTGTCTGCACCTGTCGTGGTGTACACCTTTATCTCATGGATCTTGTTCTGTTGGACCCTACCTCTTTTCTGAACCCCTTTCCCTCCCATAGGCAAACTGGTGAAGCCTAACAAGCTCACTCCAGTTAGAAAGTTGGTATAAAATTTCGTTTACAGGCCGAAAATGGTTTGGCTCAGCGGTAGAGCATTGGTCTTCGGACTGAAGGGTCCCAGGTTCAATTCCGGTCAAGGGCATGTACTTTGGTTACGGGCACATCCCCTGTAGGGGGTGTGCAAGAGGCAGCTGGTCGATGTTTCTCTCTCATCGATGTTTCTAGCTCTCTGTCTCTCTCCCTTCTTCCCTGTAAGAAAAATCAATAAAACATATTTTTTAAAAATTTTTTTTCTTTTACAGGCCCCCTGGTGGAGACAAACTGACCCCTCTCAGAGAATATTGAAGACTAGCTCATGGTCAGGTACAAAAAAAGGTAAGTTTTCAGTCTGCTGGGTTTGATGGTACGGTTTATTTTGTGATTGGAGTTCAGGAAGACAGCTTTGTAGGCGTTATGAAGGGGAAAAGGAGAGAACATTTCAGAAGATAAAACCATGAGGGTTAATGGTAAAGAATAAAGCTCCAAATGAGGAAGAAAAGGGAGGGTCATGTTGAGGAATTTGTTTTTATTCCAAAGGGGAGGAGGAAGCCACCTAAAGGATTTCACTTTTCTGGTTTGCATCTGAAGCAGGATCACTCTGGCTCCTGTTTGGAAGACTGGATCAGAGTGAGAGACTAAAGACTATGAAAGTTATTCGGGTGAGATTTAGTGGGGCACTGAAGATGGAGAAAATTGGAATAAAATGGAGTTAATTTTTTTAACGTAAAAATTGTTTATGTTGCTGTAAAATATACATAACAACATTTACCATTTTTCAGTATGTAGTTCAGTAGCACAGTGAAGTATATTCACTTTGTTTTGCAGCCATCTCTACCACCCATTTCAGAACCTTTCATCTTGCAAAAGTGAAACTCTGTACCCTCTAATCTATTAACTCCCCATTTTTCCCATCCCCCAACCCCTGGCAATGACCATTCCACTTTCTGTCTCTGAATTTGACTAAGTACTTTATAAAAGTGGAATCACACAGTATTTGTTCTTTTCTGATTGGCTTATTAGCATAACAGCTTCAAGGTTCATACATGTAGCATGTGTCAGAATTTCTTTATTTTAAATATATTTTTATTGATTTCAGAGAAGAAGGGAGAGGGAAAGATAGAAACATCAATGATGAGCCGAAACCGGTTTGGCTCAGTGGTAGAGCGTCAGTCTGCGGACTGAAAGGTCCCAGGTTTGATTCCGGTCAAGGGCATGTACATTGGTTGCAGGCACATCCCCGGTAGGGGCTGTGCAAGAGGCAGCTGGTCGATGTTTCTCTCTCATCGACGTTTCTAGCTCTCTATCTCTCTCCCTTTCTCTCTGTAAAAAAATCAATAAAATATATTTAAAAAGAAAGAAAGAAAAAAAGAAAGAACGAAAGAAACATCAATGATGAGAGAGAATCATTGATAGGCTGCCTCCTGCATACCCATCAATCAGGATGGAGCCCACAACCCAGACATGTGTCCTGACTGGGAATCAAACTTGACCTCATGGTTCATGGTCAATGAGCCATGCCTTATTTTTTTTTAAATTAAATTATTATCTTTGTTATGCCTTATTATTTAAAAAGAATTTCCTTTTTAAGGCTGAATAATAACTTCGTTAAACTTTGTTAAATATCCATTGTATGTATATACCATATTTTGCTTAACTACTGAGAGACACTTGAGCTACTTCCACCTTTTTGCTATTGTGAATAATCTGTCAATGTACATAGGTATACAAATATCCATCATGTCCATGCTTTCAGTTCTTTTGGTGTATACCCAGAGTTGAATTGAGTTGAATTGCTAGATTACATGACAGTTCTATTTTAAACTTTATGAGTAACCTTCATACTGTTTTTACCTGAGAAAATTTACCACTGATTTTTTTTTTTTAAGAGAATGGAAGGGGGGAGGAGAGACAGAGAGGACAGAGAGAGAGAAACATCGATGTGAGAGAGACACATTGATTCATTGCCTCTCACATGTATTCCATGTCTGGGAATTTAGGAAGACGGCTCTGTGATGACAGGGGTGGGGACCAAGCCTGCATCTGAGATATGTGCCCTTGACCAGAAACCACTAAGCAAAAATGGCTAGGACTCCGTACTATTTTCTATAGCAGCTGCACCATTTAAATTCCCACCAATAATAGCGCTCAGGAGTTCCAGTTTCGCCGAGACTGGTTTGGCTGACTGGATAGAACGTCAGCCTGTGGACTGAAGGGTTCCGGGTTCGATTCTGGTCCAGGGCATGTACCTTAGTTGCGGGTACATCCCTAGTAGAGGCGTGCAAGAGGCAGCTGGTCAATGACTGATCAATGTTTCTAACTCTCTATCTCCCTCTCTGTAAAAAAATCAATAAAATATGTTATTTAAAAAAAAAAAAAGAGTTCTAGTTTCTCTACATTCTTGCCAACACTTGTTTACTCTATTTTTAAAAAATATATTTTATTGATTTTTTACAGAGAGGAAGGAAGAGTGATAGAGAGCTAGAAACATCAATGAGAGAGAAATATCAACCAGCTGCCTCCTGCACACCCCCTACCGGGGATGTGCCCGCAACCAATGTACATGCCCTTGACCGGAATCAAACCTGGGACCTTTCAGTCCGCAGGCCGACGCTCTTATCTACTGAGCAAAACCTGATTTGGCTGTTTTCTCTATTTTTAAAACGAGCCCTGTGAAATGGTATCTCCTTGTGGTTTTAATTTTTATTTCCTTACTGATTAGTGATGTTGAGCATCATTTCATGTGCTTGTTGCCTGTTTGTATATCTTTGGAGAAATATTTGTTCCAGACTTTTGTCCACTTTTGAGTCTGGTCATTTGGTGTGTGTTTGTTGTTGTTGTTGTTGTTGTTGTTGTTGTTTTTTGTGTGTTTTTTTTAAGTCATATGATTTTATTTTTTATTTTAAAAAATTTTTTAAATTAAATTGGTCATTTGTATGTTTTTTTTGCTGTTGAGTTTTAGGAGTTCTGTATGCATTCTGGATATTTAATTCCTTATCATGTATGTAACTGGCAAATATTTTCTCTCATTGGGTGGGTTGCCTTTTTACTCTGTTGATAATTGCCTTTTTATATACCAAAGCTTTTAATTTTGATAAAGTCCAGTTTGTATATTTGTTATTGTTCCAGTGCCTTTCGTGTCATGTACAAGAAGTCATTGCTATATACAATGCCATCAAGCTTTCATTTATTTTTTTCTCAAAGTTTTAGTTTTAGCTCTTATGTTTAGGTCTTGAGTTAATTTTTAAAATTTGTTTTTCAGTTATAATTGACATACAATATTATATTCATTTCAAATGTAACAACATAATGCCTAAATACTTATATTCTTTATGAAGTGATCACCTTGATAAATCTAGTGTCATCTGGCACCATACATGGTTATTGTAATATTATTGACTATATTCCCTATGCTGTACTTTACATCCCCTTGGCTAT